CTGATTTTCCGCTGTAGATACAAGAATCTACAGTTCTCTCCATCTCCTTAACCACTTCACACTTCTATCAAAATGGCTGACCAGGCAGTGTGAGTGCTCTTTCTGGCTGGCTTCTTCAATCTCATCTCCGTCTTTTTTGTTGTCTGTTGTTTTTCTCGTTTCTACCTGGCTTGTTGGGGATGAGCAATGAGAGCTAGTTTGCTCTTCGGAAGGGCTGGACGACATGGTCTTTTCGCAAGATCATGGCGCAGTCCGAAGAAGAGCGCAGGAAAGAATGTCCAAACCCTTAAATTGTCCCTTGCGCCCAGTTTTGTTGACATTAGAAATTTGGCAACTGACAAAAGTGCTCGTCTCGCCGGCATCAATGTCGGCGCTCCAGCACGTCCTTTGCCCAGTGCTGATTTCGGTCTGATCGGTTTGGCCGTCATGGGCCAGAACCTGATCCTCAACGCCGCCGACAAGGGCTACACCGTTTGCGCCTACAACCGTACCACCGCCAAGGTCGACCGTTTCCTCGACAATGAGGCCAAGGGTAAGTGATAGAGAAAATGTGATGTGACATCATGGTGTGGTGTTCCAGAGGACTGATGTGATATTTCCATTTCAGGCAAGTCCATCGTTGGTGCTCACTCCGTTGAGGAGTTCTGCTCCAAGCTCAAGCGCCCTCGCCGTGTCATGCTCCTGGTCATGGCTGGTAAGCCCGTTGACCAGTTCATCGAGGCTCTCCTGCCTCACCTCGAGGAGGGTGACATCATCATCGACGGTGGTAACTCCCACTTCCCCGACAGCAACCGCCGTACCCAGGACTTGGCCCAGAAGGGCATCCACTTCGTTGGCAGTGGTGTCTCTGGTGGTGAGGAGGGTGCCCGTCACGGCCCCTCTCTCATGCCCGGTGGTCACGAGGCCGCCTGGCCTCACATCAAGGATATCTTCCAGGGCATCTCCGCCAAGAGTGACGACGGCGAGCCCTGCTGTGACTGGGTCGGTGACCAGGGTTCCGGCCACTTCATCAAGATGGTCCACAACGGTATCGAGTACGGTGACATGCAGCTGATCTGTGAGGCCTATGACCTCCTCAAGCGCGGTCTTGGTCTCTCCCCCAAGGAGATTGGTGATGTCTTCGCCAAGTGGAACACTGGTGTCCTCGACTCCTTCCTGATCGAAATCACCCGTGACGTCCTTTACTACAACGATAACGACGGCACTCCTCTCGTCGAGAAGATCCTTGACAAAGCCGGCCAGAAGGGTACTGGCAAGTGGACCGCCATCAACGCGCTTGACCTCGGCATGCCTGTCACCCTTATCGGCGAGGCTGTCTTCTCCCGCTGCCTGAGTGCTCTCAAGGACGACCGTACCCGTGCCAGCACCATCCTTGGTGGCCCAACTCCCAAGTTCGAAGGTGACAAGCAGGCTTTCATCGATGACCTGGAGCAGGCCCTCTACGCCTCGAAGATCATCTCCTACGCCCAGGGCTTCATGCTCATCCAGGAGGCCGCTAAGGAGTACGGCTGGAAGCTGAACAAGCCCTCCATTGCTCTCATGTGGCGTGGTGGCTGCATTATCCGCTCCGTCTTCCTCAAGGATATCACCAACGCCTACCGCAACAACCCCGATCTCGAGAACCTTTTGTTCGACGACTTCTTCAACAAGGCCATTCACAACGCTCAGAGCGGCTGGAGAAACGTTGTCAGCAAGTCAGCTCTCTGGGGTGTTCCTCTCCCTGCCTTCAGCACTGCCCTCAGCTTCTACGACGGCTACCGTACCAAGGACCTCCCTGCCAACTTGTTGCAGGCCCAGCGTGATTACTTCGGTGCCCACACCTTCCGCATCAAGCCCGAGTACGCCAACGAGAACTACCCCGAGGGCAAGGACATTCACGTCAACTGGACCGGCCGTGGTGGTGACGTGTCCGCCTCGACCTACATTGCTTAAAGTTGCTATGTTTCTCCGTAGGACACGACGCATTGCGCTGGACGTGAAATCCATCTTTTTTGTAGGGTGGTGTCATGCCCTGGGGAATTGAGCCGAGCTTTGTGGGAATGATGGAAACGATTACGGTATAAAAAGATGTGCAATAGTTTTATGTATTTAGATGCCCTATTTTCTTTTTCCTCGTTCTTAATCATCGTCGAATATTCGATTATGGATCTGATGTCATGGAAATGAAGTCTTTCTGTTCAATTTCGCCTATGTCTATTAAATGAGAGAGTACTTCGGAGTACACTCTATTGTCTCTTGTAGTGAACATAGCCATTGTAGCAGAATTGTTGCGATACTTGATAAGGTGTCCACTCCGCCCGCGCTAACTGCATTTAGCATCCGCTGTGTCAACGTCGACCCTGGCCGCCGTCATCCACGCACGTCGCCCAGCTCTCCTGCATCTTCCCCCCTCCATCCCGCCTGACGAGCCAGCGGTTTCTCTCCTGCTTGGCCATTTCTCTTTGTACTACTGTTTGCTCTGCCTCTAGAACCAGATCGCGTGGGTCTGTTTGTCCGTCGTTCTTTGCCTGAGCTGGCGCCCGCCTTCCGCTACGCTACGCCTGTCCCACTCGGTCTGGGTTAGGGGGATTGAGTTCTTGTCGCGAGGCGAGACATTGCGTGCATGCAGCTTCCCTCTTTCTCATCTTGTTGAATTTGGAACAACGTTGGGGGTCTTGTTCACGCGCTTCGCCTTTCTTGTTGTTTGAACGGTTTCGGTAATCTGTTTTTGTGTCAGTCGCTTGACGTCGTTTGTTATTTGGAAAGGTTCTGAAGGAAGAGTGACCTGGCGTCCGGGGTTCTGTCTATATTACGGTCTGGTGTTAGCTGCACGATAAACAATAAGCGCTAGTGTGTGGCTATAGCCCTGGGAATGGCAGCTGCCATGGTGCCACTGGAAGTGGCATTGAGCGATGCAATTGGTGCACGGTAAGCTTCTGTCAGCATCAGGTCGCAGTGTGCGATACTAATAAGCTATTGTTCTCTCCAGCGTTCGCATCAATACATCTTCACCCGCACCTTCAACGATCGAGGGAACCCTCTTTACCGCCTGTCCCATCACAAACCTTGTCGCCATCAACACCAAACCATCCCCGAACCCCGCAGACGCAAAACAAGCCCAAGCCGGCGACTACCGCATCATCCCCATTTCCCGGATCCAATCCTTCAACCTCATCTCTCTTCCCCCATCGTCGAATGGCCCCGATGGCTCCTCTTTCACCGATGCAGTTCCTCCCGTGCAAGCGCTCGATATCCGCGCCCTGAAGACCCGCGAGGCGAATGCGGTGGGAAAGGCGCAGGAGAGTGAAGCGAAGCGCGGAAAGGGTGTTACGCAGGATGCGCAAGATGTGTTTGATGCGTTTAACCGGACGATGCCTACGAGATGGGATGGAAGTAACATTATCGTGGCGGATGCGGTGTCGATAACGGCGCCCTACCAGGTTGATGATTGTCGGCCGTTGGTGGCTGGTGATGTGGCAGCGCTCAACCATGTGCGCAAAGTGGTATGTTTTCTCTTATCGAAATACTATCAATCTTTTCCAATACTAATCATATGATTGTTCAGCTTGAGATGGAGCGTAAGAAGATCGAACTCCGCAACGCCAGTGCGTCGATTGGCAAGCCCGGCACTCCTAACAACGCTGGCCAGAGGAAGGGCGGTTAAACCCGTCTTGATTCTGTTACCGCTGATAACCTGACATAAATAACAAATATTGAAACTTCTTGTGAAGAAGAGGATTCGATACGATACAGTATCATAATTCTTGGTTGAGTTAGGGTGTCTCAACCATCGGTTTACCTTTTAGGTGATTGATGAGCTGTATGCAATATGGGAGATGGGCTGGATATACTGGAGCTAGCTCTATCATCTTCAAGGATGATATTATGGTTTAGCATGAATCGAATGGAATATCAAGCAATTCTCTAAGTTCAAGATATAAACATGACCATGAAAAAGATTTGATCGAACACTACTGCTAAATTAATTAACATTAATTAAGATAAAGTCAAGTCAATATTACTACGTAGACTAATCCAATGAAGTTATCCCATCCCATCCTACTAAACCTCAAGATACATCCGACTTATGACCCCGACTCAAACGGTCCAAGTTAATCGCCGCACTGACACAAGCTAAGTGACTGAACGCCTGCGGCGTATTACCCATCTGTTCACCCGAGATAGCCACTTCTTCAGAGAACATGCCCAGGTGGTTGGAGTAGGAGAGGATGTTGTCGAAATGTGCAAGCGCCAGTTTGCGGAGGTTCGGGATGTCGACGTCGTAGGTTGCCGCCTGCTTAGTTTAGTATCTAACACTTTGTGATGAAATTTTGTTGAAGAATGGGAAAGGCATACACGAGCCATGGCTTCGACGAGCCAGAACGTGACCATGATAAAAGCGCCTTCGCGGCCGCCCACGCCGTCGTTGGCTTTTTTGTGGTCGTATCGGAAAACCATACGGGAACTAGAGAGACCTTCTTTCTCGGGTGCTTGTAGGATCTTCTTGAGCGTGCTGATAAAACGGGGATCGTTGGGTGGGAGGAAGAAGACCAAGGGCGCGATCAAGATAGACGCATCCAGAACTTCGGGGCTCTCGAAGCTCTGGGAGAAGTGGCCGCGGTCAGAGTTGTATCCTTTATCCATGATTTCGTCGTAGAGTTCGTCGCGGATCTGGACCCATCTGATTCGGTCTGGACAGGGAAGACTAGAGCGTTTCTCACAGAGACGGACTGCTCGGTCTAGGGCCACCCAGAGCATGATCTTGGAGTAGATGAAGTTCTGGATTTGACCACGGGATTCCCAAATGGACATGTCCTTCTCGTGGCGCACTTCGATCACGTAATTGATCATCCGACGTATGGCTAGCCATTGGTCGTAGGTGACGGGGTTGCCGTGCTTGTTGTACAGGTAGATACTGTCCAGCAGTTCGCCGTAGATATCCAACTGGGTGTGGAAGACGGCCGCATTGCCTACGCGGACGGGCTTGCTTCCTTTATATCCGTCAAGATGGCTCAATTCCAACTCGGGGATGTCGTATTCTCCTCGAATTGTGAACATCAGCGGTAGGAATGGCCGCTTACTGCCTGGTTCGGTCGCGTGGGCGTGCGGGAAGATGCGGTCGAAGATGAAATTGACGTACGCCTCCGCTTCGTCGCTGTAACCCATCTTGAGGAAGACATAGAGGGTGAAGGAGGTATCTCGAACCCAGGAGTAGCGATAATCCCAATTGCGACTCCCACCCACGTTTTCCGGAATGGAGAAAGTTGGCGCAGCAACAATGGCACCAGTGGGTTTATAGGTCAACAATTTCAGAATCAACAGACTGCGCTCGACTGTTTCACGGTACTGTCCGCGGAAGGTGCATTTACGCGTCCATTCGGTCCAATAATCGTAGGTCTCTTCCTCCAAGCGCCTGATATGGCCTGGCACGGCGGTACCCGTAGGCAAGCTCATTTCGGGACTGTGTAGAACAAAGTGGATGGCTTGGCCTTCCGAAAGTTTTATAATCGCGACGAACCCCCGGCCTTGCATCTCCGGCCTCTCCTCCAACCGGAGCTGAGCTTTGGGAAAGCCAGCGATGTCGGGCTCCAAAGAAGTGGCACAGATTGCGAGTTGCAGTCGCTCTGTTTCACTTTCGAAATGAACTGTCTGCACCGGATGCTCCGAGAGGTCATCCTCCAGTTTGGCGCGGGTTATGTGGGAATCACGGGCATAGTTGAATGCTGGAAAGAGCTCAATCTGCAATTCCATGGTGCCACGGCTACATTCAATTTTCCGGGCAACTGCTGAGTGTCGCAAGCCTGACTTAAACCGGTTGACTCCGGGCTCATTGCAAGGGCAGTATCCAGTCAATAAGCGGCCAGTTTGGTGGGTTCGCTTCGGGGTGACGGCGAAGTAATCCACTAAGGTTGCTACTCCGTCATCGTTGGTCCAGCGGGTCTCAAGGAGGTTCGAATAGGGCAGATATCTCTGCTTGCTGAGCGGATTGTTCACCCCTACGGTTGGTTTGACGCTCCAGTGGCCTCCCTTTTTGGAGTCCATCAAGCGACAAAAGATGGAGGGGGAGTCGAAGACAGGCCAGCACATGAAATCCATGCTTCCGGCTTTGCTGACCAGAGCACAAGTGTGCATGTCTCCGATGAGGCCATAGTCCTCGACGGCATTGTAGTCCGGGATTCTCTGAGCTGAATATTGTTCGGCCATATTAGGAAACTTGGGGCTATCAACACGCAAGCAAAATAGCACTTAGTGTAAATGAAAATGAAGCAGAAAACATCCCACGCCAGGGGAATACGAAGGAGAGCTAGCGAAAGAGTTAGAGGCAAAAGAAAAAAAGAAGAAAAAGCAGCAGGGCAAAAGAGGATTGATTCGGAGAACATATAACAAGTAGCAATAGATATTTTGTACTCTTGGGCTAACGACATGATGATGAGAGCGACGGTAATTATAGCCGTGAGGGATCATAATGGCATCTGAGAGGATATGCTGGGAAGGGATTATTGATGAAATAATTGGATAGGCCTCGACAGACTGAAGAGGATTTTGGGCCATAGTCACATCACCATCATAATCGGATAATGTTGAGGACCCCTGGTATATGTCCCATGGAATAGTGCTCTTCTTGCCTAGTATCGCATAGTCCAATTTCACGCATGAGGATTCATAGAGCCGAGGAGCAAAGCGGTCGATTTCTTTGGCCACAATGAGTATAGCAAGGTCAATTGGACCTTGCATTCATCAACTGTTCCTATCTGCGTTCAGGAGTAGTGGTCTGGAGGCGCAATGAAGGTGGACTAGAGCAGTGATCACCCCGGAGCTATTCTCCGCCAATAACGATGGCGCTGGTCAACCCCGGATCGACCGGAGATCTGAAGGCTGACATAGCGGTAGCTGGATCTTATAAGCAGACATGATGGAAAGAGATTAAAATATATGGACAGCTATAGTTAGTAGTTAGCAGTAGTACTGTTAGTCGATAGTAGAGCAGAGAACAACAGCAGTGGTGGTGGTAGAGAGACAGAGATTCAGGGGCGGCAGAAAGAAAAGTCACGTTCTGGTCTCGTGCCTCCTTTCGACCTCACCTCTTGTCTGTCTGTCTGTCTTCAACCATCTTTGCTTCTTCGCTTCTTTTTTTCTAATTATCAGTTTGGATCTCGTTCTTTCTTTGCTTCGTCTTTCTCTTTTTTGTTACTTTCTCTGCAACAATTGCCATTGATTTGGCTCCCCTTGCGTTGTTCAATGCAGCTTTTGCTGTCGCCCTATTGATTCTTTCTGTCTGTCTGAATATATTTCCTTCTCGATTCCCTCTTTCTTTCTCTTTTTTATCTTCTCTTTCTCTCTTTGTCTCTCTCTCCCTCCTCTCGATTATCTTTTCATCTCATTATTTTCGACGGTGGTCTCCCTCCGACCGCCTTTCAGCTCTTCTCCCGTATTTCTCCTTTCGGTTGCTTCCCAACGATCAGCCCGACGGGACAGCCTGTGAAAAAAAAGCGTGTGAAGGACCTGTGGGGGATTGTCCAGCCGATCCGGTTACTAATGGAGTGCGTTTGAGTTTAAGAAACTCTCCTCCTTTCGCTTTCCGACTTTCGCTTTAGTTCACATACATTCTTTCCCGTTATATTTACCTCCCCCAGAATGGGCCTGTCTCATTCGGGAAGCCATCATCGACGGCGCAGCTCGATGCTGACCGGCGCCGCGGGACCTTCGCATTCGCTTCCGACCGAGCAAAGGGAGGAGTCTCCCCGGATCGTTAGTGATGGTGCCGGTCATAAGCGGGAAGAACAGAAGCCGTTAAATGGGGAGGATGCGGAAGCTTCCGATCTCTCTTCCATTGCGGAGAGCATGGAGATGGATTACATGAGCACTGATGATGACCTTCACGATGACGAGGAAACGGGTCTTACGGCAAAACAGAGACGTCAACAGCGACGCCGGCGACGACGCCAACGGAGGCAATTGGATGCCCGTATTGCGGATGTTAAGGCTTCTCGTAAAGATGTGTTCAGTCTGGGTCTGGCTGAGAGGAGCGTTCTTCAGAGATTACTCGTCAACGGCGTCTTGATTCTTTCGTGGTATTTCTTCTCTCTGTCTATTTCCATTGTGAGTTTTCTCCCCCCCTCTCCGAATCCACGGATTGCTAATCATTTTCTTGTGACAGTACAACAAATGGATGTTTTCGCAGGATGACATCGTGTTTCCCTTTCCTCTCTTCACCACCAGTTTGCACATGGCCGTCCAGTTCACATTATCTGGCCTGATCCTCTGGGCTATTCCTTCGCTCCGTCCAAATAATCCATCCGTATCCGCGGCGTCTGGCTCGTCACCTATACAGGATCCTGGGTCCTCTGAGAAAAGACCACTGATCACCAGGTTCTTCTACCTGACTCGCCTGGTCCCTTGCGGTACGGCGACATCGTTGGATATCGGGCTGGGCAACATGTCCCTCAAATACATCTCGCTCACCTTCTTAACTATGTGCAAATCCTCCGCCCTTGCCTTCGTTCTGCTCTTCGCTTTTATCTTTCGCCTCGAAACCCTTTCTGTCAAATTGATTATCATTATCGCCGCCATGACTGTCGGTGTGGTCATGATGGTGGCCGGTGAAACCGCATTCAATGCGGTAGGTTTTGCCTTGGTGATCGCATCTGCGTTCTTCTCGGGCTTCCGCTGGGGCCTTACCCAGATTCTTTTGCTCCGCCACCCGGCCACGTCTAACCCCTTTTCGACCCTTTTTTTCTTAACGCCCGTTATGTTTATTTCCTTGATCGTAATTTCTCTTGCCGTGGAACGTCCCGCTGAGATCGCAAACGGCTTTCAGGCGCTTGCCGCCGCCCACGGGACGGGGTTCGGGCTTGTGCTCTTGATTTTTCCCGGTGTACTCGCTTTCTGTATGATTTCCTCGGAGTTTGCTCTATTGAAGCGCTCATCTGTGGTCACATTAAGCATTTGCGGGATCTTCAAGGAAGTGATCACCATCAGCGCAGCAGGCGTGGTGTTCCACGACCAGCTCACCGCCGTCAACCTCACGGGTCTCATTGTGACGATTGGCAGTATTGCCACTTATAACTATATGAAGATTTCCAAGATGCGGCAAGATGCCTTATCAAGCATGGGGGACCGGAGCCCGACTACAGGTTCGGATACGGACTCGGATGCAGAATCTCCTGCCCCCAGCGGATCTCGAGGTTACCAGCAGGTACCCAATCTAGAGACAGGAATGGCCCAGTCCAGTCCCAGAGTGAACGTCGCCGATAATGTCAATATCACCCCCGCAGATGACATGGCTATTGGCGGACCACGCTCGTACGGTGTCCGGACCAGTGGAGCCAGCAGCGCTACCCATGGGCTCTCCATTACCACGAACCTCGAACCCCCACGATCAAACTCTGCCTCTCCACTCAAGTCCGCACCTCCGATCATTACATTTACGGATACAGACTTTCCCTCAATTTCGGAGCGTGGCCCAGCCCACGGAAGCCAATCTGCTTCACAATCTCCAGAGAGAAATACACTTGGACACGACCATTAACTGAACTCATTCGCTCATATATTCTTTGGAAAAATTCCCTTTGGACATAGTCATCAATTTCTCCCGTTTCTCATCTATTCTTAAGTGATATTCATTTCTCGAACGAGCTGGGGAACCACATTTCCCAACTGTCGATTTCTCAGGCGCCTTTTCTATTTCTGTTTTTTTTTTTTTTTTTTTTTTTTTTTTTTTTTTTTTTTCCACGCTTCTTTTGATATCTGTGATACCGATCAATGCTTCCTTGGCGGATTTGGTTTTGTTGGCATGTTTGGAGTGATGTAAAGGAAAGCATGTCAATATAGACATTGCATAGTTTGTGCGCGGGATACTCATTCGATTGATACCACCAATGGATTTCCAGGAGACAACGCCTTTTTTTTTTCTTTTCTAGTTGTCACCAACAGATGACCTTGTCCTCTCTATTTTGTCATTCTTAATAAACCGTAACCCTATCTTTATGCAAAACCGCTACTGTATATGCCACCGTATAGTCAACCTACCACGGAATAACACTGAGGTTGCGCGCTCATTGAGCGATGATCTATAATTTATAAACATAGGCATAGTACACAAGCTTCTCTTCCATTATCATCATGGATCCGCCGTTTTCTTCTTTCCCTTCCCAGCCGACGAGCCCTTCATCATATCCATCAACGACTTTTGCCCCTTCTCGGCCGCTTTCTTTTTCTTCTTCTCCTCCGCCTCTACCTTCCGATCATGTTGTTCCTGGTGCTTTTCCCGCATCTCCCTCCCCTCATCTGCCAAGTTCGCCTCGAGAGAGCGGAATTCGAGAGACTCGGGATCCATCCCGATAAGGGATTCGAGAAGTGAGATCTCGTTGGCCCAGACACTAGGATCGGCAATGAGGCGGGCTGTAGGCTTTTTGGCCTTGGCCTTGGACTTCTTGGTCGGTTTTTCGGGTTCTGAGAGATCGGATTCTGAATCTTCACTTGCGCAGGCTTCATGTGCAGCAGTTGCAGAGGAGGTGTCGGTAGTAGGTGGTCTTGAGGCATTTGATACGGGTCTGTCGATGGGGGTCTCCAGGATCATTGGCATATCTTCAAAAGTAGGCTCGTTCATAATGTTGTGAAAAGCCCGAAGACCCAGGAAGCCTGTTCCTATGTTTGCATGGAGATCCCGATGGCTGCCCCGTGGTGTCTTAGAATCGTTCAGATGTAGGGCGCGGAGAAATTGTAGACCAATAACCTCATCAAATTCCTTCAGAAACGCCTTGAACCCTGTGGGCGAGGCAAGGTCGTAGCCGGCAGCGTGGCTATGACATGTATCAATACAGATTCCGATGCGGGAGTGATGTTCTTTGGGTATCTGAGCTATGATGTCCCGGAACTCGTTCAAGGAGCCACCTATTGTAGTTCCTTGACCGCACATTGTTTCTAGGACGGGGGTCACAGTCGAGGTCGCGGCTAGGGCGTTAGTGAGGGCTTTCGCTAAGCGAGTTAGGGCGGAGGGGAGGGTAGTCTGGCCAGCGCTGCCGGGGCTACTCAGTGTCAATACTTGCCTTGACAGGAATTGGTTGTCTTGGTTGTGCTTACTGGAAATTATAGAGGTTGATTCCAAGTGCCTCGCAGCGTTGGAGGTCGTCGAGGAATGAATTGTACGCCTGCTTGGCCTTGGCATTATCCTCTTGCGCCAAATTGACTAAATATGAGCCGTGGGGGAGAACATGCTTGGCTGCGTTGTATTCCTGTTCCGAACAAGACTGGCAAAATTGGTCCCTGTGATCGTCCTGCAAAGCAGGGTTGTCCCACTTTCGCTGTGACTTGAGGAAAAGGGCAAACGCATTTCCGCTAAAAAGTGTTAGTATATCATTATTTCAGTCGGTGGATTGAGCAACTTACCCAATCTGCATACTGTTATTCACGGCATTGAAGACACCTGAATAGACCGTGAGCTGGTGATCCAAACCAGATGGAAACACTGTAACCAACCTTTCGCTGCGCTAACATGAGCGCCCACGAACATCCGCAGTCCCTGTGTCCTAGGTCGCAATGGCATGGCTTCCGCTTCTTTATCTGCTTTTGTCTTCCTTTTCTTCGTTGTCTTAGCTGTTACTACTTCCGGTACCTCTTGCTTAATTGCGCCGTTCTTTTCAGACTCGGTGCTGATCGAAAGTTCCGACTCTTCTTCAAATCCTGTTTTCACCTTTGTTCGCGAAACCTGTGAACGTCTTACTCGTCCGATGTCAGCAATGCTCTACAGAGATGGCCCTGGTTCTCTCTTACTTCGGTTTGGGTTCAGCCACTTCTCCGTTAACCTGAGACAGGCTCGAAACTTCCGGCACATCTGACCTTAAGCGCTTCGATCTTCTAGACGGTGAGTTTGGCTGTGGCGCTGCATTAATCTCGCGTGTACTGGCGTTCCGTTTTGAGGTCTTCGGCGAAGACAATGGAGATTCGGGAACGGCGCTGGGCGCACTTTTGCGTGTCGACATTGCAAATATGTTGCTTTTCTTTACCTTGGGAAGGACAGGAAATGAACTAGATAAGTGGCGATTCCTCAATCTTTTCGCCTTCACGAAAGAGGTAAAACAGCAACATCTGAGACTCGGTTGCCATCGGCCAAAAATAGGGCAGTTAGATACCGCCCCATACACCGCTTACGTATATCAATCACGTGTGTGTATCCAGGGCAACGGCGGGCAGCTGTTTATCGATAAACCCACCGCCGACTTCGTGTTTTTTCCATCGACAATCACCACGCCCCACGACGATACACACGAAAATCTACACGACAATCGGGCTAGACGACAATCGGAATAATTATATTGATTGATGTCCGTTAATTCTCAAGAGAACAGCCGGATCATCACCAAATACGACAGCGTCGCCAACATGGCGGCCCAAGAAGACCTCGTCGACTTCGAGATCATCGAGAATCAGAAGGAGAACATCCAGTCACTCCCCGGAGGACGGTCTGCACGAGAATTAGCCCGCATTTTCTCACCAAGGGATACGACTGATAAGCTGGCAACCCCATCACCCAATGATACAAGGACTGTGAACGATGCAATCAGGCAGGAATTCGAATCGGAGTTGCAGGCGATTAATGAATCCGACGACCCGCTCGATGTTTACGATAGATATGTGAAATGGGTTCTTAACGCCTACCCCTCGACTCAAGCGACACAGGAATCAGGACTGCTTCCTCTCCTAGAGCGTGCCGTCAGGGCTTTCCTCTCCTCGAATCACTACAAGAACGACTCCCGATATGTGCGGCTATGGCTTCACTATATCAGATTGTTCTCGGACTCGCCGCGCGAAACGTTTGCTTTCCTTGCCCGTCATCATATTGGTGAAGAACTCGCCCTGTTTTACGAAGAATTTGCCGCTTGGCTAGAGAGTGCGGGGCGTTGGGCACAGGCCGAGGAGGTGTACCATCTTGGAATTGACCGGGAAGCACGGCCAGTTGAGCGATTAATCCGGAAATTCAGCGAGTTCCAGCAGCGATATGAGCAACAGCCTCAAGACGGACCAACCTCGCCCGCATTGCCTAAGGCACGACCAGCACTGGCTGCCAAGACAAACCCGTTTGTGTCTTCGAGCGCCGCACCAGAAGAACAACCTCAGCAACCAGCCGCACCAGCAGCCGGTGCCAAGAAATCGAAGTCCGGCAAGCCGAAGATGGCCATATTTTCCGACGCGGGCGACGCCGCCCCGACAAGCCAGCCTGTTCTCAGTGGCGGGCCAACAAAGGGATGGGATAGTATTGGTTCGTTGCATGATCGAAAGAAGGAAAACGCCGTGGAGGCAAAGCCATGGGCTGGAGAAACTTTGAAGGCAGGAAAGAAGGCAGCGCCAAAAGAGAAAATGTCGATTTTCAGGGATGAGGTAAGCACTGTTCGGTTTTGGATCCCAGTTTTTGAATTCCGTATATTTACGATCACAGGACTAATTGGTGGCATAAACCGGTATCGGGTTACGATTTAATGTATTCAGTCAAATGCAAAACAGCAAGTCAAAGAACCAATGCAATTCAAGCATGTTCCAGAGCATCGAGTAAGCGAAGCGGTAAATCCACGTACTGGTAGACGTGAGCATGTTTTCGTCAATCTTGAAGCAGTATACCCCGATTACAAAAATCCGAACTATGAGATCAGTTTCGAGGAACTGAGGGCTATGAGCCGGGGATGGATGAACAAAAATTGGCGCTCACAGAAACAACCCCTGAAGCAGATATCAGGGAATGCTGAGCCCTCGGTGGAAAATATTACAGGAAGGGGCTCCGAGAAGGAACTACCAAGTCAATTCAATCAGAAACTGGCCCTCAACGACTCACAGCCTGACCAAGATGAGAACCGTGAGAGCAAAGCTGGAAAATCGCGCAAACCCAAGGTTCGCGAAGTCCAGGGAGAGACGCAGACCAGTAAGAACAGCCAGTGATGCTCGCCTGATATTCTATGCTTGTTGGGACTGACATGGTGCTAGTCAAAATGAATTTCGATTCCCCAACGAAACCAAAGAAAGTACGCCGCAAGAGCACTGCTGAGCCGACGATGACTATCCACACTCGCGCTGCTACGGACGAGATCTACAGTATCTTCAATCAGCCATTGAAAGCAGAGACGGAGCCCGCGGACAGCAGTGACTTCGACGATGATGACGACGGCTATACGAGTGTCGGCGAGAGCACAGTCACGGGACGGATATCTGTTGCCTCCAGCGATTTTGACGATGATGACACGACATTCCACAAATCCTTTGACAACGGTGATGAAGAAGGGTTTGATGACACTCGGGCTGAAAGTGTTGTGGATGGCGAATGGACTGATTTCACCGGCAGTCGGCACGTCTCCGAGCCTTCAATAACGGACTCGCAGGCTTTCCAGCCAGAGCACCCTGAATATACCGATGGTGAAGAAACAGATACCGCTTTACGGTCAAGATTTGTACCGCAAATGCCCGAAGACTACAATCCGCCATGCGGCCCCTACCGTGACCCGGAGATCATGGCTCAGAATCGCTTGCCTTTCATGACGCCTATTGTCGAACAGACAGAGTGCTCGTTTCCCTCCATGAGGACCGCCAGGAACCTCTATACTGCGAAGACTCCGTCGAAACCGATGCCCGGTATCGCTGCAAGCCCTGGCACACCCGAGATGGAAGACCTTCTGGGTCTCTCGCCTGAAGGGGACAAATTCGCCAGTATTCCAGAGGATGTGACGCTCAGTCCGTCGGCAATGAAGTCACGCTCTAGTCCGCTGATGCCATTTCTAAAGAGTAGTCCGGCACGAAAACAGAGACCTGTTATTGAGGATGCTCAGTGTAATCCGACCGATAAGGGAATCCGGAAGGTCGTTCTCGAATCTTTGAGCCCACCAATTTCATCGTACCCCGGCTATCAAACTCACCCAGAGGAGGAAAGTCACTACGCCCCTGGAATCCAGAAGTATATAAAGAACCCCAGCAAACGACCTAAGAGCGGCGACGAAGCGTCATTCAGTGCCCCGATGCTTGAATTCGAGAAAGCAGAACGGGGTTACATCATCAAACGAGAACTCGGAGCCGGTGCTTATGCTCCCGTATACCTTGCGGAAAGCGTCGACAGCTTCGATAATGATTCCGAAATGGATGGCAGTCGAGATTCCCAATCTACGAACAGCAGAAAGACGGCGGACCGTTACAGTTTCGAGGCGATTAAGATGGAACTTGGACCCCCTAATCCGTGGGAGTTCTACATGATCCGGGCCGCTCACGAACGTCTTCAGAAATCGCCTGGATGCTCCCGTGCCACCGACAGTATTATTCGAGCACATGAGTTGCACGTTTTCGAGAAGGAGAGCTTCCTTGTAGAGGACTACCGTGGACAAGGTACCTTGTTGGACCTTATTAACATCATTCGCAACGAACCGACTCTGGTCCATAACAACGGAGAAGGTGGCCTAGACGAATGTCTAGCCATGTTCTTTACCGTAGAGCTCTTCCGAACCATTGAAGCATTGCACGCGAACGGCATTCTCCACGGTGACATCAAACCCGACAATTGCCTGGTCCGCTTCGATGACCCATCACCACGGCCAGCAGACAGCACACCGTCCCTCCTCGATCTCGATGACGAGAACATAGATCCCCGCGAAATCCACTACTCTCCGCACGGTAAATACGGTTGGCGTAACAAGGGTCTCAGTCTCATAGACTTCGGCCGAAGCATCGACATGCGCGCCTTCAAACCTTCCGTTCAATTCATCGCCGACTGGGAACCAAGCAGCCACGAGTGCAACGAAATCCGTGAGATGAGACCCTGGACGCACCAGATTGATCTGTACGGTGTCGCCGGTACGGTACACGTGATGCTCTTCGGGAAATACATCGAATCTGTCCCTGTCCGGCGCAGCGGCTCCGAAGACGAGAACTCAAACCCTCAAGCAATGACGAGGATGTACCGTATCCGGGAAACGCTGAAGCGATACTGGGAGCGGGAGATTTGGAGCGAAGTGTTTGATTTACTGTTGAACCCTGGTGCGCCAAAGTGGACATCTATCGATCAAGACGAGAATGAGGATCAGCCGCCGCATTTGGCTATTCTTGGAGCGATGCGGGCTGTTCGGGAGAAAATGGAGAGTTGGCTTCTGGTCAATGCGGAGAAGAAGGGTTTGTCGTTACAGATCCGGAAGTTGGAAGCTGTTTTTGCGGAAAAGAGAAGGAAGTTGGAGAGGGTTTGATTTCAACCCTCTGGTCTTCGTTCAACTTTGTTTGTTATGGTTGATTTTTGACGATTTACGATGACTGCTTTATCTTGCCCTATGTTACTATACCCCCTGTTTCTGTTTCCGTTGTCATTAATTAGTATCTGTCAAGTTTGAATCATGTTAATAGGCATATAAGTAATATACGTTCTACCTTGTTATCATATTCAGATACTACCGGTTCGCTGTAAACTCAGTTGAAGATGCTAAAGAATTGTTCTATTCGCCTCCCAAAGCGGCAATGTGCCGTTATCAGATTCCGCTAAACCGCTTTGGGACAGCCTCATAAATTTTTTGCTGCTGGCGAAAACACCGCAACCTCCAGACAACAACAAGTGCTGATTTCCAGCACGCATTGTTTTAATTGAGAAGGTAGAAAATAAGCCATATTTTCTAATTCTCTGATATACAATGGCACCCGACAACAAGAAGCGGCGGCGTGAGCCATACACCGTCGACACCAAACTGGTCGAAATCTATGAAGACCTTGCCAACGAAAAAGACGAGATCAGACTGAGGGCCGCGCAGGCACTGGTCTCGCAGTTTACCCCTGACAAGAATCCGAGCGATGAGCAGATCAAAAGAGCTTTGCAACGGCTGTTCCGAGGTCTCTGTAGTAGTCGCAAAGCTGCTAGGATCGGTTTCTCTATCGCGTTGACTGAGACTCTGACACAGGTGCTTGCGACTCCGAGAGAGGTTTCGGAAATTGATGTTCGGAAAGTTATGGGTATTTGGGAGTCACAGTCGGATGCTTCTGGTAGTGATTCGGGGCAAGTATGTTTAACTTTGCTTGATCTATGTGGCGTAAAGCTAACACGTTTTGCAGGAGCAAAGAGATCACTTCTTTGGACGGTTGTTTGGATCAGAAGCTATCATCAAGTCTTCTATCCTTTTCAAGCCCAGTGTTCCCTTTTCGGAGTGGACTAAGCTCCTAGACCTGGTCTTCGATCTGGCCAAGAGGAAGCCATGGATTAGAGAAGAATGCGGCTGGATTATCTACCGCTGCATCTATGACCTCTCTGCACAAAAGGTCGATTCCAAGTACGTTGAAGCGGCTTTGGAACGTTTGTCGAGCTTTGACCTCATCCGCACGCCCGAAGGAGTTGCCATCTGGTTGGCCGCCAAGGACCTGTTCCCCAAGGCGAACTTCCCCGGTAAGGCGTGGAAGCACGATGATCCGCTTGACACACGGGAGAGGAACCAGCTGGCCAAGGTCCTGAAGGAATCGTCGGTCGATACGGAAGAAAACCAAGAGAACAAGCCCAAGTCTTCTGGAGTGTGGAACTCCAAGCTTCATTTCGCATGGGATGCCGTTATCAGCAGGATCCCGGCTGTGAAGGAGACCAAATCTAAGAAGGAATCGTCTCGCTTGAGCTTCGTTGATTTCTGGACGGATGCCGTCGACAGTAAGTTTCCTGGCCTCGCAAAATAAGTAGACTTTAACATGGGTAGATGGATTGTTCGCCTCTGCTTCATCCGAGGAACGCAAATATTGGGGCTTCCTGCTTTTCGTCAAGGTGCTCAACGAGAGTCCTCTGCAGCAGGCTTCTCTCGTATTCACGAAGAACCTGGTCAGATGTCTGATGAATCAGCTCGCCGTCGAAGACAGATACCTGCACCGCATGGCTACCAAATCAGCCAAGACCATTCAAGCCCGTGTCTCTAAAGAGCCCGAATTCGCTGCGACCGCCATTAAGGGCTTGATGGGCTCAGCTGGCTCCGTCAACTTCGACCAGGTCACCAAGACCAAGACCGTGGAGAAAATTGCCGTTGAAGCCAACCCCGATGCACTTAAGGAGATTGTGCCGTTTCTGGAGAAACTAGTTAGCCACCCCGGCACCGATGACAGCAAGGCCGCCGCATCGAGCCGCCAATCTCTGGCCAACCTGCTTGTGTCGGTCGTCCGGTCACGAGCATCGAGCCAAGATGCCCAAGATGGACTCCAAGATGTCCTAGAGCATATCTTCACCATCTTCGTGCGATCCGCCTACTTCACACCCAAAGAAAAAGAAGGTCCACAACCACTCATGGCCCCCCAGACCCAGGAAATGTTCCGCAACAGAATAAACTCCTGTCTGAACAGCCTGATTGCTTCCCAGAAATACGCAGCCACCCTGCCGTACACTGTCGTCCGCAAGATCCGCGACGCAGCCAAATCCGAGGAATACGGGAAATCGATTATCAACATCGACGGTGCCCTTAGCGACTCCATCAAGTCCGCTTTCAAAGCCTTGAAGAAACTCTCTAGCTCAGATGAGAACGCCGCGGCTGACGCATTCAAGCTCCTCTACTCAATGTCCCTTCTCCAGGTCTACAACGGCGACGCGGACGCAGTTTCCATGTTGGACGAACTCGAATTCTGCTACACCAAGTTCCTGGGCGACAAGAAGTCGAAGAAGAAGAGCGAGGACGATGAAATTTCTGATGCGTCGGATACATTGGTCGAAATTCTGCTGAGCTTTGCGTCGAAGCAGTCACAGTTGTTCCGTCGTATTAGTGAGCAGGTGTTTGGTGCTTTTGCAGATAAAGTTACTGCTACTGGGTTGGAGTCTTTGATTTCTATCCTAGAAGCTAGTGAGAATCTTGCTGGTCAGCAGGAGATGTTCGAAAAGGAGGATGACGAAGGAGATGAGGAGATGATGGATGTCGCTGATGATGACGATGATGAAGAGGACAGCGATGTCGAGGTCATCGATGCAAAGGGTGGAGATGGTGACGAAGACGAGGAGGAAGAAGAAGAAGAAGAAGATGATGATGATGATAAGACCGACAACGACGAACCCGACAACGAAGAAGCCGAATTTCAAGCCAAACTCGCTGCAGCCCTAGGCCCACACGCAGCAAACAAACCAGACGAGGAATCCGACGACGAAGCTGACATGAACGATGATGACATGGAAGCCGTCGATGAGCAACTCGCCAAGGTCTTCAAAGCGCGCCGCGACGCCCTCGAACAGAAGAAAGACAAGAAAGACGCAAAAGGGAACATGGTTAACTTCAAGAACCGCGTCCTCGATCTTGTTGAGATCTACGTCAAAAAGTGCCACTCTAGCATCCTCGCGCTCGATCTCCTCTTGCCACTTCTCCGCCTCACTCGAAAAACCAACACTAAGCAGATCGCTAACAAGGCTACGACTGTGCTCCGCGAGTACTCGAAGTCATGTAAGGGATCTTCTGTCCCGGCGATCACTGAAGACTCAACTGAATCTGTTTGGGCATTGTTGAAGGATTTGCATCGCGAGGCTGGACACAGTGGCCCGCAGGCTCACGCGACGGCTTGCAGTCAGGCGAGTTTGTTGGTGGTTAAGGTGCTTGTGGCGCATAACAAGAAGGCCATTGAGGGTGTTGTGGATGTCTACGCGGCGACGAGGAAGCAGCAGATGCTTAGCAATAAGTGTCATGTGCAGCCGTCTTTCTTCACGGATTGGAATAACTGGTGTGTGTCTGCGAGGAATCAGATTAAGAATTAGTGCGCTTGTTTATGGATATGGGTATGAGTATCAATTTGTATACGTGTTTATGTACACTAGCACTTGCTCGTTTGTTTATACTGTGGTATAGGATAGGATAAGAATAGGTTAAAATCCCTTGATATACCGATGCTGATTCGTCTCCTCCAATACATCGAACCTCATCCCAACCTCAATAGCACCCTCATTCCTCGGCGCAGCAAGCATCCCGAAACATGGCTTAAACTTGATCCCCTCGTCAACCCGCCGGTAACTCACAAGCGTATCCCAAGGTTGCTTTGGGTGCTTCTCCGCCGTCTCGGGATTGACATTCGGTACCTGGCACCGTGCACATCGCGCCACGATATCAAGATCAAGCGCAGGTGATGACGGAACGAACGAGTCTCCATTTCCTGTCAAACTACCACTGCTACTATTGAACCGAACAGTCTTCCACGAATCCTCAGTCCAGGGCGCATTCCCCTTGACCACGATGTTCGGGCGAAAGCGCTCAATAGTGATAGGGTCGCCACCCTTTTGACGAAGCCGCGAGTTCAGCTCCGCAATGGAAGCCTCAGAAGCGATAAGAATGGGATGAACATCAGGAAAGTTCACACTCTGCGTGCGGCCCAAAAGTTGGGGGTCCCCGTTTCCTTGCAGAATCCGTGGCGTGGGACCCTTATACACAAGCACGACGTCGCGGCCTAAGAAGCGCGAGAAAGGCTCATTCACCTCGTTGCCATACACGTAGCCGTCTGTGACTACATCCCACACCTTAACTTGCGAAAGCGTAGTGTGCTTCTCCAGCCAGTCCGCATTGGGAACTGCGGGGATACTAATCGGTTTCTCCATGGTAGCGACATTCCCACCAACACCAGTAATACTCAACAAAAGCGAATTTCCATCCTCGCTAAGACCCGTGTTAATCAGCGTCATCTCCGGAATCTGACGAATGGTCAGGAACTGCAGCGTCTCCGCATTAACGAACATCCACTGTCGGTCGAGATGGAGACCATGCGAGCGGAGCGTGCTCTTGTTCACTGTGAACCCGCGGCAGGACTTTATGGGATATACGCGCAGAGAGACAATTTCACTGCTGCTGTTGGCATTTTGTTGTTGGTGTCGTGACTAGAGTTGTTGAAGGCGGCGGAATTGGTTGCTTTCCGGGCCGAGGATGACAATAGGGATGAGGAGGATGGGGACCACGAGGAATACGGTTAGGGCCCCTGATGGGATGCTTAGGTACTCCAGCATATTGGTTATTTCTATCATGGTGAATTGTTGATGGCTTCAAGTCGATTTGTAGGAGTATGGAGCCAAGATTTTATGTCGGCCGATTGTTTCTGCCGGGTTCCGCCGCATTCATCCGAGGAGTCGCCAAATGGATCGAAGATGTATAAAGTGCTTTTCTATATGATTAAGAAAAAGATTATTAGACGGTAAGCATAGTATAGGGAGGATTGGTGGAAATGAGGCAGGTTTTGAATTTGTTGTGCTGTTGCGCCGAGCTTCCCTTAGTTAATGCCAGCTATATATAATGGAACCATGGTTTTCTATGTATCTCTAGCCTTTTTATCAAACCAGGATGTTACAAGCGCTTTGATAAAGGCAATCGCAACGTTCTTCCCATACTCAATGTCCTCATCATTACACGATGGAGGAACATGGAAGAAAGTCACGTTGCGGTCCCGGCCTTCCTGAAACGCCAGTGCTAAACTCGTGTAGAGAATAAATTCACAAGCGTAACGACCTGCGTCTTTCGAGATGCGAAGATCCGCTCCAGGGGGCGCAAATATTTTCCATATATCGACAAAATGGTCGTCCGGCGGATGTGGGATGGCATGTCGTTGCACAGCCTGCTGTGGTTTCGAACCAGGAGCCGTGCCTGGTGTTTCCATTGCCGGTGCATTTACTGTTGGACGAATATCCGTCGCACGACCAGCCTTTAAAATTGGAGGCAGCCCTAACTGTCTCCAATGCATTTCACCATCCAGAAATCCCGACCTGCCAGTGATATCCGAAAGATGATACGCATCGCGGTGTGCCTGTGTTTCCACCGAATAGTAACCCCTTGTTGCGGCTATGCCCATATGAATCACGATATCCGGTCGTCGCCCGCCATGATTCTTTGCATATTCGTCTAATATGGCCGGCACTATCTCTCGGATCGTCGAGTAGGCCACGGGTATCGGAGTGGGATGGACATGGATGGAGACACGACGGGAAGTGGGGACAAGACCCTCTCGGGGTGCGGATGAGGGAACTGCCGAAGGGAAAGTAAACGATGATGGGAGAGATGAAGAGATCAAGTTAGAGGCATTCGCAGCGTAGGCTTTGAACGGCTAGTTCCCTTGTCAGGTACGAGATTAGCCTCCAAGCGGAAGTGGTCTCCAGCCACAGAATATGGAACATCACTTACACCAAAGCCTGTCACCAAGACTGACACCTCCGCCTCAATAGGCAGGGTAGTTTGCTCGATTCCCCGGATCTGAGATGTTCCGAGGCCAGGGTCTCCCATGATGGTGATCTTACTCCGGAGTAATGGTGTTCAACGGATAAGCTGGATACGGATAAGTTATACGGAAGAGACAATGAAGGTTTCTCTGCTTGAAATCGAGGTTGAATAAAGCAAGGCTCAGAGCATCTGCAGCGGCAGCGCCTTGCTCGTTGCCCAACCCCGCCTGCAACAAGCACGACTGAAAGAGGAGAAAGTCGCCTGAGTGATGTCCTGATCCGGGTCTTGGCGTCACGGGGTTTTGAGTCTCACTTCACCCCGTCATCATCACCAGCTTTCACAAGGTCAACCCTCAACTAACTACGGAAGAGTCAAGTGTGTTTCGTCAGAGTTCTGCAGCTATTCTCGGATGTCTCGATCCCGTATCCACAAGGAACAACAGACGGGAACGAAAACGAGAACGAGAACGTGGGGCCTGTCCAGTTACGCTGCAAATACGGACACTCGACCGGAAAACGGATTGACAGCATCCTTTCTCGAAGAACCGATCTTCCTAAAACCAATAGTATTCGGGTGGGCATGTTCCGTACGGCATTCAAAACGGCGACCCCTTAAGCGACCCATCCTTTTCCCCGCGACATACCAAATTTGGACAGTTGTCTGGGCTCCATCGGTTAAGCCCGACTATCTAAATGACGAATCAGTTTGTCTACAAAGAATATTCGGGGGATTGTGCAGAGATAGAGAGACGCTCAGATGCATGCTGGAATTGTATTCCGTACCACTGTCGCTATGCGATACACCGCGACTAGAGCACATCGAACTGGCAACCAAGAAAAAAAAAGCAAAACCAGATCTATCCGATTTGGGTTAACCCTCAATCCCTGCAATATTCAAGATGCTATGGGCACTTCTTTATACGGAGTAGTCCGTATAATCAAAGAAACAGGACTCAGCTCGACAGAATGATGATTGTTAATGCACCTAGCATCTACGGATACGGTGTGGCAGGACCTCTAAGCGAACAATTTCTAGAATTTCTTATTCGGGAATATGGGGTGCCTATCACTTTCCCGGAGATTCGATAATTGACACCCCCGAATCCCAAAAGCACCTATTTCCACGCTGACAAAAGCAGCCTTGACAGCTGAGGACGCAGATCTCGGTCGTAAGACCTTATTCTGGATTTGAGAACACAATGAGCACAGACTTGCACAAGGAAAATATGATTCGGAGACATGCCAGTGTGTTTCTTTCGAGTGACGATCACCGTATCCAACGTATCGAACCAAGCGCCCCGCCTCGGTTGCTTCGATTCCGCTATCCGCGTTAGGGGTTGAAGATATGCATATAGAAAAGCGATGCTACCCATTTCATCATCCTTGCTTTTGTGACAGGTGTTTTCCTCTGTTGAAATTTGACATTCCGGTGTTGTTACACTAACAGCCGGTAGCCACTATGGCTTTGATCGCTGAACTCTTCGAGAACCCCCTTGTGCTACAAGGCTTAGCAGCAGCCATATTTTTTGTATATGTCTCTCATTTCTTGAGAGATCTCTCCGATGGCTTTCCATACAAAAACATCCCCCTCGTGGGGAAGAGTCGCTGGGCGTTGTCAAACACAAAGGCCAAAGAGCGTTTCGTCAATTCGGCCAACGAACTGATCCAGCAGGGCTTCGCTCAGGTAAGACCGCTCTTGTGCCTGTAGGGAGTAAATGTTAATATTGAATGATCTATATAGGGAAAAAGCGCTTTTCAAGCCATGTTCTCCCATAGTCTGATGATTGTCTTGCATCCCCGTCTCATGAATGAAGTCAAAAGTCATCCCCATCTCAGCTTTGACGAGGCCACTAAGAGGGTATGTAGAACTCCCTGTCTGGTATCGAGCTTTGACTAATAGTTTCAGTTATTCTTTGGAGGCCAGTTCCCGGGCTTTGAGGTTTTTGAGGGACAGGACAAAGATCATATCTTGCTGAACATTATCAACAAGAAAATCACCCACACCCTTGGCCAACAAACAATTCCCCTCTCAAAAGAGACTGCTTCTTTGCTGAAAGATACATTTTCCGAGTCGGATGGTACGTCATCCTAGATAGCTTGTTGTGAACTTGGTTAACCGATTGTCCAGAATGGCAACCCTTTGTATTCGCAAAGGAAATCCCGCACATGGTGGCTAGGTTGTCGTCGCTTGTGTTCATGGGCAAGGAGATTTGCCACAACAAGGAATGGCTCGACGTATCGGTCAACTACACCATCGATTCGTTTGTTGCTGCTCGCGAACTTCGACTTTGGCCCGCCGCCCTGCGTCATGTGGTGCATTGGTTCCTGCCTTCGGCCCGGAAAGTGCGAAAGGACATGAGCATCGCCCATAATATTGTCCAAGGAGAGATCAAGAATCGCAGATTGATCCGCGAAGGCAAGCTGCCAGCCAAGGGCGAAAGGACACACCCGGACGTACTGGACTGGATCGAAGAAGCTGCCGCCGGACGCCCCTTCAACGAGACTCGTGCTCAAGTCGGACTTGCTTTGGCTGCCATCCATACTACGTCAAATTTGTTGACAAATGTTTTGTATGATTTGACCGCTTATCCGGAACACATCCAGCCTCTACGTGATGAGATCAAGGCGGTTCTGGAAGAAGACGTTGGCTTGAAGAAGACCAGCCTGGTCAAAATGAAGCTGCTTGATAGTGTCATGAAAGAAACGCAGCGGATGAATCCGGCAGGAATGACCTCGATCAGCCGTGTTGCTATGAAGGACGTCCCACTCTCAGACGGAACTGTTATCCCCAAGGGTGCTAGTGTGGTTGTTTCAGGCCACATCATGCAGGACGACTCCGTGTACCCGGATGCGCAGCGATACGACGGCTACCGATTCTACAACAAGCGCCAGGAGCCCGGCCACGAGCATCGCCACCAGTTTGTCACAACAACTCCGGAACATTTCGGATTTGGACATGGACAGCATGCTTGTCCCGGACGGTTCTTTGCAGCCAATGAGATCAAGATCTTCCTTGTCCATTTGCTTGTGAAGTATGACTGGAAATTTGTTGAACAACAGGGTCGTCCCAAGAACATTCTCCATGGCACTGAGAACATTTGCGATCGAAATGTAAAGTTCCTTTTCAAGCCGCGACAGCCGGAGATTGACCTCGCTTTGCTTGGAGAGGGGACAGCCGAGTGATTACTCCGTTTACTGCTTCTTCTCTTTTGATTTCCTCGCTTTTTTTTTCGGCTTTTTTTTTTTCCCTTTCTTCCCCCCCCCCTTTGGATTGTCCTCCCTGTTTTTGCATGATGTGACGCACTACAAAATACAAACTGGAAGCAAGCAAAACTGGATATCCGCATATGGCGACGCGCCGCATAGACTTGTTCAAGCTCGTTGTATAAACACGAGAGCTGGACATGCATACAGCTGTACATACCATGAAGCGCGCGCATATACTGACTCGTGGGTAGTGCCCTGTACTCTTATATATACTTGAACGACTTATGAAATTGACTTCTACTTGTTCTAATTTACCTTCACCGAAAGTACAGTACATATTATAGCAACAAATCCCGCCCTAATATTGAGGGTAGTGGTGGATATATATGCACTACTATATGGAGTACTAGCTACAGACGCAGAGATAATTCTATGACCACGAACTAAAGCAAGCTATAGAACTCTGTTGACAATGATGTAAACAAGAATCTAAACGATCACCATAAGATCTTTGGGTCCATACTAAAGTTCTGAGTATGTCATCTGATAGTTACTGTATTCCAATGTGTTAATGTCAATAAAACCCTGTTTATCATTCTATTATTATAACAGTCACGGATAGCCTAGTCTCGCTATTTATCACCTGCATCTATCACAACCCGCATCCGCTGCTAAACACAGCAACCGGTTATTCCAGGTACTTTCCTATTGTCCCAGCCTCCGGATATCCGCTTCTAAAGAGGAGAACCAAGGCACGAAGTGGACTAAGGAAGTAATTAAGGAATCGATCCACCTATGTTGCAGTGGTTCCATCTAGGAACGATCGTGTCACATCATATTTAAGTATCTTTGCTCTACGCAAGTACTTTGGAGGCGTACTTGTCTAGGGTACGAGTAGGATGGTTTCCTACTTAGGCTCGATAGCAGAGTGCCCTGTATTATTGATACGGTAAATTACCGACGCGTTGAAACACGCGTAGTCGCGTCCAGTCGCGTTTCGCGTGGGACTAATAATATTCAGATTGGGTTTAGGGTCGGTAATTTTTTTACGATGACGTCGTGCCCGCTTCTGGCGTTATTCAATGCCTGATCTCTACTCTTTGTACAGGGGTACGGAGCACAGGCATTCTTATGCTAAGAAAGAATTGTGAGATGAATACTCTCAACACCAGAATTCGCAGATGGAGAGGACTACCAGGGCAAACAGGGTTACAGCATTGCAGCGCGAACCGCGTGAATCCATACTGACTCGTACAGCGGTGGAAACACTAGGGACATCGCATCTGCACGAAACTGGAGTATGGCATCGCAGAGGGACGAAACCTCAACTCTTATTTGCCGGAAGGAGGCGAATTAAATTGGAACGAACAGTCATTTTCCTTCTTCTGACCGGATAGACCGAACGAACCCTCCTGTCTTGACTCCTTCCCCAGCCACCGACTTGACCGCACATTGGCAATTGGTCATTTTTTTTTTTTTATTTATCGTGGTGGCCTGGCAATCACGATCGATTCCTGTTTTCTCCGCGACGCTGCAGATCAATCGATTCAGTTCCTGAGAAGACTTCGACGAAGGAAGTGAAATTGTGATGAGCTGCGGTGGATAGAGTACATCCTCGTGGTGGTATGGTTCGCTAAGTGATTCAATTGCAGTATTTATCAGTTCCCACCATCATCAGGAATGCTCACACCAAATTTCAAATGCTCATGCTCATGCTCAATCCAGCTCAAGTACATGAAGAACGAGCTCTGGACCCTCCTTGCAGCTGGACGCCCAACTGGGATACCAGGAAATCCTCCACTGCCAATGACAGCCTTAATAAAGTATCAGGGTCTGATTTGTTCAGTGTGCCAGCTCAGTAGGTCCTTCCCTGTAATAATGAACAGTATTCCGTATGTATTCTCCCGACACCGTTGGGGCGCGGTGAGGCGGATAGATTGGGTAGTCCAGCCTCCTGGTTGGTAGCCGGGATAACATTATTTAGAGAAAACGAAGGGAAAACTAGTCAAGATAGAAAATATAAAGTCGGAATTGATCAATAAGAGCAGTGGAATATTGTAAAACCTGTAATTCAGCGCCTGGATTACCGTGGTGATGCTGCACGGTGCATGCGAGATATAGAGCTGTATGGCAATAAGTCAGTACAGAACAGTAGTAGCCGGGAGAGCACGAGACAGACAGTGAGGGAGGTTCTCCGGAATGCAGACATCCTCGTGGTCTCTCCTTCAATTACTTTTCTTCCTTCTTAACTATACCCTGAACATCTGCGATCTTTAACGGTGGATCTGCCGGCGTCGCTCCGTCTACTCCGTCACCAGCCCGTGCTCTCTCAAGTTTCTCTCTCGCCTCCTCTCTCTTCCTCTTTTCTCCTTCCTCTATTCACCCGTTTTTTCTCTTTTCAGACATCTTTGTTTCATTTGTTGGTCTGGCGTTTTTGTTTGTTTGTGTGTTGTCTGCATGTGTGGATGAGGCATTCCTCCCTGACTTCGTTTGAGGAATTCCATACAAGACTCCTCTCTCCATATATACACCCCGTCAAGTACAACACACGGCGAATTCGATCGCTTTGCCTTCTTTTTTTTCTCTTTTATTTATTTGACTGACAGTCTCTCACCTGGACTTTCTCATCTTTCTCATCTTTATTTTTCTTTTTTTCTTTTCTTTTTTTTTTTTTTTTTTTTTTTTTTTTTTTTTTTTTTTTTTTTTTTTTGGCTTGTTTGTTTCCTTGTAACGACCTTACGACCTCATTCTTACCGATCTATTCACTCCTGCGCCGACGCCATTGACTGGAACAGATTTCCTTTTCTCTTTTTCATCTGATTCTGACACTATCCTCGAGAAAAGAAAAGAAGAAAATCCCTTACAGGATATCGTGGGGAAGTTGGTTTGGTTTTGCTCTGGGGATTCTTGAACGACTTCTCGCCCATCCATCCCTCCGTCTCTTTCGCATTCCTCGATCACCCCCCTGCGCACACTCCTTCGAAGGCGACCGTTGAGACAAATCAGCTCTCGCGCGCAATGAGACTGGCATAGTGTCTTAATTTAGATCGCCCTGCAAACGCACCAGTCGCCATAACTATCTCGTTCTCGATCGCTTAACCCGTCCGGATAGTGGCAATTGGATATCAGTGGACGAACAATGGAGGACCGACAAGCAGGGCTGTCGCGCACGCTGCCCAAAAACTTCACCTTTCCGTCGAGCGCAGACGAGCCCAGAACCCCCAAGCGCGCTTCTATTCATCTCGACGTCCCTCCCCCACCACCTCGCGCGGCCAGTTGTCATTCGCGCCGATTTCGCCCTCGCTCAGGGACCGACGTCTCTGCGCAGGTACACTCTGATCCCGTTTCATGGAATCAAAACCACTCCGATATCCCCCTCCCATCAATCGAAATTCCTCCACCGTCATCACCACCGTCCGATGCAGCCGTGGCACCATCGAGCGCCGCTTCGGGATCCACCAACAACGATCGCTTCTTAGCGCCTCCCCGGGGCCGCACGGCCCTGAAAACGCCCCCAGCCCAGATTCGTACGACCCCGACAGAACTCAACACCACAGGCGCATGGTCAGTATGGGATAATCAACAAGCTTCGGGTGAGGCGATCCAGCGACCCAGTTCGTCCTGTTCTCATGTTTCGGATTCCTCCGTCTCTTCTGTTGAAACATTCGCTTCCCGGCCATCGGAGGGAAGTTGCACCAGCACTGAAAGCGAACTGCAGGACCCGTTCTTTTACTTGGAGCTCCCGAAGAAACCTGTCTCCCTTCAATCGCCTCTGTCATTGCCCGAACAGAATGTTACGAAGCAACGGCGCACTCGTCAGGTAGCTTCCAAGGACCGCTGGACTGCGGAGATGGATGGTCACCTTTGGAACACGTACCAATTGTACATCCAGGATCCCACCATCACCCCGTTCAAAATGACGCCTGGCAGTATTCCGCCGCTGGGCGTCACGCACCGCGTGTCCCGTGAAGCGAAGAGGACCTGGGACCGGAAAACCTTCAGACTTAACCGAGATATCCTGAGCCAGTCGCAACGGCGTGACGATGGCAACAACACGCCCACTCCCAAGGCCAACAGCGACGCAACAAAGCCCGGCTGGCCAAGATCGGAAGCCTCTACCAGACGACGACTTAAGCTGCTGTGCAGGCGCAAGTTCTCCATCGCGCCGCACTACCAGCGGTTGATGATGTCCAAGAGTCCCGCGCCGTTGGAGGACTCATCTTCCCGGGAATCTTCCTGCTTTGAAGGACCTGGCCCTAGCTCTGCCACTTTTGCGACCCGCGATTTGGGCGTTTCCCTCGTGTCCAGCTCGGTCCCCGGGCCCTTGTCGCAACTCACGGCCGAAGACCGGCCTCAGGATGCTCCTGTCGACTTCAATAATCCATTTGGCAGTCCTAAGAAGCCGGAGTTAGCAATAACAGCACCAGAAGACTCCGTTGCAAAGAGAGCCCTTGGCCTCGACAGACCCGTTGCTCCGCGCCTTGGATCACCGTTCACCTACCATACCTGGGGTCCGGAAAACAGCTCTTTCAAACGGAAAGCCCATCGCCATAACCCGATGGGCCGGCGAGAGACGATTCATGTGACGACAGGCTTCCGATTGCGATCGCCACCACGGATGGATCTGTTCTCAAATATAAAGAATGCCCCGCAAGCCCAGGACCCGTCGCACGCCAGTAAACCCGACGAGTACCCCCATCTGGAAGAATTCGCGCGCCAGGGCAAACTGAACGATCCTGGAAACCGTCGCGTGCGGATTCGCAACCGTGGTGCGACCACCAGCTCTGTGAATCCGAGGGCACTCTATCAACTCTTCTCCCCGCCATCTTCGTCGTCGAAAGATGAGACAATGCCACGGGAGAGACCTGCGTCAGGCCATCGTCGGAACCTCAGCGGTGACAGTATCAAACGCTTGGGATCGCCCTTTAAGCTGGAGGGAATACGCCATCGCCATTCCTCATCGGGCAGAATCGTTCGACATATGCCGCCTTCATCGGATCCGTTCGGCCCTTCTCAGATGCCACACTTGAAGCCATCTCAGTCTGAGGGTATGCTTCCCTACGATGCCACGGAGCCGGGTCTTTCTGATGCAGAGCGGATTCGACGGCAAATATTGAACATGCAGCATTCGCGAAGATAATGTTTGTCTCGTAATTATCTGTCACGGCAACCTGTTACCATGACTGGTGCTGTGATATCACTATAATTTGTTCATCATGGTGTCAACTTTCTACCTTTCCTCACAACTTCACGTCCATTCAACCGTATAAGCCAAAATGGTTCTAACGTTTATAACGAAGTCTCTATTGAATGAGAAACGAGAAAATGATAAATAAAAAAAATTTGAACAAAGAAAACACGACACGAATATGACCCAAAATCCGACAAACTGCGCGATTGCTTTTGATTTCTATGAGGAACCCAGCCGGCTGATACTCTTAGTCGCTTGTGATTCTGATTGGCATTCTTTCACTTTTTTCTTTTCTTTTCTTTTCTACTTGATCCAATACACGATCCTCTGGGTTTGGATTCCGTCGACGATCCGGGATACACAAGGTCTATCCCGGTCACCATACGCTCTTTGAGATTTCCTTGTATTCTCTTTTCTTTTTCTTCATTGACCTGACATTGAGTCGGAAATACAGACGCAACGGGGTGCACAGGACCCTGTCAACGTACCCTGATAAAAAAATAAAAAAAAAAAAAAAAAAGAAGAAAAGAAACACCGACTATACTACTCTCTTTACTCATTTCTTTCGATTCTTTCAACTTTTGACTTGCTTTTTTTTCCTGCACGCACCCGCCACTACAATCATGCGAATAGCATGTTTGACTCTTGATGACTTCCAGTTTCAGCAATTCAGCAATTCAACATGATGCGTGACGCGTGAACATATACTTACTTGCTTGACTTTTTTGATGTGACCTGACGGGAGATGGAAACGAACTGATTGGTTTATATGAATGAAGTATGAAGTGATGTTGCTACTTAGCAGATGTTGCTGTATGCAAGTGTCTCAGCGAGCGAGCGACTTTGATTCTTTACATTGCTATCATTGTCTTTGCAGCGTGGAATTTATGAAGCGCTTTGATTGATTTCTTTTCGTTTAACTTTCTTTTACCGACTTCCGTTTCTTTCTGTCTTGATTTGATTGCTCTGCATCATCTATTGCATTCTTTCGAAGCTATCTATGTACTTGATTGAATTTACATCCAAGCTTTACTTTACTTCAACTTGAGTATCGTGTTTTTTTTTTCTCTATATACCGTCTTCTGTTGCCATAATGAGGGGATATTGAAGGATTAGATTAGGCTGGAATCGACCATTTTTCGATGTACGTGAAATGACCGCCTTCGTTTGTTTGCTCACCATTGCAATGTTAGTTAACAGCAAGACGATAATGTATAGCTTTATTCTTTCTCAACGATTGTATCACATTGTCGAGCTCTCGACACAGATTGTGATACTCCTGGTGGCGTTGGTATTCCTGGTTGGCTTGGTATGGGGGGCGTCTGCTGCTAATAACTCCAGGGCAGGAGAAAAGGTAGTTTAAACCAGATACAGGAGATGGTAGATAGTTGAATAGTAAATAATAATAGTGATGAGTTCCATAGAGAATAAAGGCTATCGTTATCATACAGGCATGAAAAGTAATGTACAGTTAAAAGTACAAGAGCGAACGAAGAAAGTAACCTCGGGGTACGATCAAAAGCTGTTGACATCAGTCGAGCCATCAGGCGCTGGACACCGCAACATCCTCCACTCACAGAGAATCTTTTCAATCCGCTCGCCCATCCCCGAAGCATGCATAACTCACGCTAGGGCTGCATGTATACCCAATAGGGATCTTGACGGGAGTTCAAAATCAGCATGTTGTTTGAACTCGACTAGACATATGCCTTGCTGGTTCGGAGGTGGGAGGTCCCGAGCTAAACCACCATGAAAGCTAGGGTAGGTTGTGCCTTGGTAAACATTGTCATCCACCTGAGAGGTTCAGTAAGTATAAATGAATGTATGAACGTATCACCCTATCATGAGGCATATCGTGGGCTTGAAAGACAATTTAAATTGTCCAAAGGGCGGATGGCAGAGTGTCATCAAAGTCAGACAGTTTTATGTTCGTTGATGCTCTCCGGGGAAAGATGCACAATCTCCTTTCTCTTGGGGAACAATGGGAAAAGCGTGGACAAGATCCGAACCAAGTTCAGCTCCTTGTTGGTTGTCAGCAGGCATTCGACAAGGTCAATACGCAGAAAACATACTTCATGGGAAGTTCGATATGACACATCGCAAAGGGTATGATGTGGCATAGTCCAGTTGGAATTGTATTAGCGGATATGTCTTGGTTCTACGGGTAAACTTCCTGTGCTCTCGGGTCTCAGAAAGGCGCGAGCAAACAATGGTAGTCATTGCGCCCTAGGCACTCTTTCAGAAGGCAACCTGTATCAGGCTAGAAACCATTTGAGAGAATTTGTCTTAGGAGCGGAAGTTACAGTTAATTGTCCAGGTGGTCGACGTGGAAAACAGGTTAGCGAACATAACCTTCAATAGTTCATGGGTGCGTTTTACTTCATGGAGGACCTGACGAGACTGAAGTTGGCATCGCCACTCTTGGGCCGGGCCCTTCAAACACTTTTCGATGGGCCCCCTCACCAGTTGTGAACTGTGGGAGGTTGCTAGGAAAGATATGAAACTGGATCGTGGGCCTTGTCAGTTGTTCTCCGATGATATTTCTATCTGTTCCTGCTGACATGTGTAGGAAAGAATCCGTGTGACTACACCCTCGCGCTGGGGCTCAACGAAATAGCATGGGTTAGATTCCATGCGAGCCCTCGAATGAACTATTATTGATCGATAGGGATTCAAGAATTTCCCGAAGATGGCCTCGCGCTTCTGACACAGTATTTGGGAGTGGCACCTTATCTAGTCCCCGGATCAACTGACAGACTTAAATCGTCTAGTGTTCTTTGGCACCCTGATCTTCATTTGGAGAATATTTTCGTCGATTCAGTCACAGGTGAGATCACCAGTGTTGTTGACTGGCAATCAGCATGCGTCGCACCTATGCCAACATTTTGGGACTGTCTGGGAAAGCTGGTCAATTCTACAACGGCCTGAGGACTACGACAATTTCAGTGAAGTTAGGCAGAATATGGTTGATAAAGAGTTAGAGAGTGGAATGTTGCGTAAGTGATATGAAGCATAGATTTATCTACGAGCCCCTAATCACTGGCCCGTCCTTATGCAGAAAAAAAGTCCCTTCCTCTATAAACCCATCTCGTTCGTCAGCAAAGTTCGGAAAGATCGTCATCTTTTCTTCCTCAGTGACGCTCTCATCCTCGTCACCACAAAGAATGGCCATTTTCCTGGTGCACCCTGCCCGGTTGAATTCAGCAACGAGTAAATGGAGCTCCACGACAAGGAACTACTGAATGTAGGAGCCGCTGGGAAAATACTGCGATCATTTTGCTATGGGTCCTTGCTGCCCGTGGGTGACACGATTAACCTGGAAGGCTATGATAACGCGATTCAGAACAGCCGCAATTTCAACCCGGTTTTTTCTAAAGCTGGCTAGGGATGACGAGGAGAGGGAGCTGTTTGACAAGATTTGACCATATCGGGAGCCCGAAGATTAGATCGGTGGTACGAACTGAGTAGGGTTACATCTACAACCCGGAACCTTGTGGTTAAGTGTACCACCCGAGCATGCTTCACAATACCGACGTTGATAGTCTGATATCGGTCTCATTCGATTGTCTAGATGAGTTGTTTACAGGGGTGTGTGCCCAGCTGAGTTCATGTGAGGAACATTTCAGTATCTCGACGATGTGCCGTGTACCTGCTTGCTAGGATTATCCCGGTGTGGTTTATGTGTATTTGGATATCGTGTTGAGGGGTCTCTTTGATAAAGTGGGTACCTTTATGTCGTCTACGTGTCCGTGCATTATGCATCTTGCCTGGGCAAAGCTTCGGCCTGATAGCAGTGTATGTTTTCCTTTTTGTATTCTCTCAGCGCTCTCACAATAAAGACATTCGAACAGCTTCCCTGATTTTCTGAGTGTCAAGCATCCTAAGCTCTATTCCGCATTGATCTACAGTAACAATGTATTTTTGTGTTTGTATCTTTTACTGTTGAACTGCTTTGCGGGGTTGGTCTTGCGTTTGTCTGCATTTACCTGCAGCCTTGTTGCATGCTGTGTTACCAAGCTGGTCGAGTCACATGTAAGCTTGCGCTTGCTCCATTTCTATTTCTGGTCTATGATTGTCTGGTTTGTACTTGTAGGTACATTTTCTTTACTTTTTGAGTTAGCCGCTTTGTATCTCGGGAGGCGAGTGTAGGTATAAGTAGCGGTGTCTCTCACTGGCATCCTTTCAGACTCTCGTATTTTAATCAATATAGTCAATTACTTATTCTCTCTTTTTTATAATTACCAAACGACCTTCAATTCATAATGCGTCTTCTCTACCTCCTCGCTGCTTTCGGTACTGTTGCATCTGCTTTTCCGATCCTAGGACGTCAGGTGAGTACTTGGCTGAATATTCTGAGTCCCATAAGATATCGGGGATTGACACTGCTATAGGACCCGAATGACCCATGCATCGTATGTCCCGCATCTCGAACGAGTCGGTACATAAACTAACCAAACCACGACTAAACAGCGAGTCCAAGGAGATCAATGCCCCGAAGAGTAAGCTACATCCCCTCCTTTCTGAATATAGGGTGTCTTCTAACTTGTATAGCCACCCATATTTACACCAGCCTGGTCCGCTTGCGACTTGCTGTGTATGTCCAGATGTCCTTTGTTATTCGGTATAGCAGACTAACATGTGGTAGACTACGAAGCCTGAAAGTGAGGACAGTGCGGAATAAGGTTGTTATAAGTTATGGTTGATTGAATGTGGTATGAATTATGATTGTGCATATGTTTCTATATGAAGTTGGGCGTACTTGCCTGCTATGAGTATTTGAATATATATCTGGAATTATGAACTTGAGCATTGATTGACTAGGTTTTGAAATGTACTCTGGTCTTCATTCCTCCCAGGTGTGCATACATGCCGTCTAAAAATAATACAAGACAAGCATTCCAGAACGCATATCTTCATTCTTTCACGTCTTTACAGAATGGCAGGTGACAGATGCCATTTATGTACTGGGTGCATACTATGGAATACGTACCGAGTGAGCATGCTATCCTTTCTGTTGCAGATTGCTGAAGAAAGATAGACGAACACAACATGCTTCTGGCCCCTTGCTTATACTAATGCTTATTTATCGACTGCGTGCGACCACTTACTTAATACGTACAACCGATAGACTTGTCATGGGTGGACTTTTTGTATGTACAAGGTCGATAAGGGACATGACTAGAAATGCGGCAGCAATGAAAAGGCCTGTAGAAACTCCCTGGCTTGAATGATAAGCATTGTGAGTCCCACCGTCCTCTAAATTACGCTCTCTCGAATCCCTCCCCTAAGGGAAATGAGGACGTATAGAAGAGTTAAAGAGAGCACCCCGGCAAGACGCGTGATTCCTCGATACTGGTGTTCCAAATATCGTAACTGTATTGAGGAGCGTAGCTACCGTGTAGACTGGGTAACTTTTTTCTCCCTTGAAGCCATTAACCCAGGTCATAGAAAGCTGTACAAATGGAGATTAGATCCGCCTCCGACGATATTCTTTCGCTAGATGACCGGGAGAAACTGGACTGCAACCGGCTTCTTCTGTATAATCCATATAAAACTGCAAATAGAATAGAGGCTAAAACTGCAATTGGTCTCGTCCATGTATTCAACAATCTGGCCTGTACTATTTGTTAAAGATATTCATTTCAAGTCGACACGTTTGTTCTTTGAGAGGGGGATTTACTAATTTGTCTGCAGATTTCATTTTTACTTCACTAAAGCTCTGGATTTGAAGCTGTGTCGTATCCAACGATGATCAGGCGAGGATACGTTGTGTGCGATGTCATCTTTTACAGCCGGACTGCGTCTTCCATACAGGAACAGAGGTGTTGACGCATCGCGAAGATCTCTTGGATGCATCAGTATATGCTTCCAGACTAGCAATGTAATGCTTGGGGAAAACTAATAAACACGCAGCGACAACTCCAGCAAGGAGGTGTCTTTAACTATAGAACTTGTGTCCCAGTAATGCCAACCTTGGATTATTTGTGAAACGAGCATCCGAGTTGCGTCTGAGACTCGCACGGATACTCTGGTTGTATAGTATTACTGTGGGTTGCAACAGGCAAACCGGTCAGACAACGCGGCATGCGGACACTGTTAACATCCCGTTAACATGGCAAAGCCAGCCAAGTCCTGATTTGAGCTTACTGCGCATAAATATTGCAGACTGGACAGTCACAATCGGTTAATGTTGCCTTTAAGTCCCGCTAAATTCGACGCTTCTCTCGTTTATAGAGCTTATTCCAAAGCAACACCGGAAGAGGTATAGCTGCCTCAGTAAATTTCCAGCAAAGTCCTTTCACCGCTGGCACATTCATTCTTATTCAGCGACAATCAATCGCGGATATTTTGCCAATTCATGTAGAAGCGGATGGGCTAAGTCTTAATTGTGCTATGTGAGCCCAATATATTGTGGATGGGAGAGCTTCTCACGCAGTGTGTTGTCTGGACTACCATACTGCTTTGATCTCTTCTCGATACAGACCCTAAGAGGGTGATCATAAACACCATCCGTTTCTTCTAGTACTTCCTCACAACCCAAGTATGACTTCCCACGACAGCCCCGTATGCAGAAGTCTGTCTCAGAAACGCTGTTCAAGATCCAGAGGAACTTCTGACAGTCTCTGCAAGATAGCTTGGAAATGCCAATATAACTATGCATTATATTTCCAAGCTCTGTGGCCTTCAACGCAGCATGGATTGGGCTAAACCTTTCGAGAACCCGGGAAGTGGTACATACGCTCCCAATAACTAGCAAGAGTAAGTCTTGGGTCCTTTTGGCTTTCATGGCTTTTTATATGTGATTTCTGGTAACGTGGAATGTAGTGCGTTTTGCAGAAGACTTGAGTTTCCCGGGGACTGTATATGAGTCTGCAGAGTTATAAGAAAACAAATATTAAGTCTAGTGAGGCTAGCCCGAATTGTAAACAAGGAAAAAAGAAAGTAAAATAGAAAAGTGAATACATGCCGTACGGAGCACTCCATCAGTCCACCTGTACAATTGCTGCCTCAGGCATATATGCATTCCGCTCGATCTCCGCTCCGCTCTTTATCCACCACCCACCACCAGCAAATCTCACTGCCATTGTAACTGCAATTGTCTCTCCCCAACCCCATAATCACATCCCAAGCGCGCAACCATGGATATTGACGATATCCTCGCCTCCGTCGACCGCGACGCCAACATCCAAACCCCCGAATCCGCAACCCTCGACCACCAACTCCTCACGCGCTTCTGGGTCGCCGAGCGCGCGGTCTCAGAGCTTCTCCCGTGGCCTGCGAGTTTGATGGATAGGATTATGGAGAGGGTTAGGAGGCAGGTTAGCACTCCCCACCTCCTTCAAATCAGAATGCGCTGCGTTTGCTTGAATTGGTCTGGTAACTAATTAAGTGACGCTGCAGATCGAAGCAATCGAAGACCTCGCCGCAAGCTCTGGCGACCCAACAGCAAGTACCAACACAAACAACGCAACCCTAAACCTCAAACTCTCAATACTCCAAACAGACCTCGCCCGCACCCAATACCTTATCCGCTCACTCCTCCGCCAACGCCTTTCAAAACTCACAAAACACAGCATGCACTACCTCCTCCTCATATCCCCCAACCACAACACCTCCCAACACACCCAATCCTCGCAATCCTCGCAAACCCAACAACAACAGCCCGAAGACTCCGTGCCGACACCCGATGATATGGCGAATACCAGTCCGTTATCGCCGCAGGAGACGAGCTTTATACATGCGCATCAGACGCTGCTTGCAAGGCATTATGGGTCTTCGTTTTTGAGTACGTTTCCGCCGCAGTTGAGAAGGTTGGATGATAATGCGGGGGGGACGAGTATGGTGCAGGGGCCGGAGGGAAAGGAAGCGGTTTTTGTGAGGTGTTTGGTTGATGAGGTGGGGGTTGTTGTGCCGCCGGGGGATGGGGTGGAGGAGGAAATGGTTGGGACGGGGATGAGGATGGGAGATGTTTGGGTTGTTAGGTGGGAGGGGGTTAGGGGGGCTTGGGAGAGGGGAGAGGTTGAGATTCTTTAGCTTTGCGGAGTGATGGATTATTGCTTTGGGAGTTATAGGGTAGTAAATACTGGGTACGGTTGCATTGCGGGTGGTGTTAGGCGTTTGGGACTACTTGTACAGCGACTACTACTACAGGATGGAGTCGAAATTGAAACTTGATTCATTCATAGCCCAACAAAGGAAACATCCTTCCCTCCCAAGCTTATCCCATTAGCTGTCGGGTATGTCATATATGTACAGTTAGCGCTAACATTTCATGCACATTACATCCTTGCGTTCAACAAGGTTAGACCTTCACAAAATTAAAACCCCAGTAGCGGGTCCAGCCTGTAATCAGAAATCTGTACAGCAAGAGAAATGGGCAGTCACTCCACGGATGAAAAAAAAGGTGGTACAGGGAAGTGGGAAGAGAGGATTAAAAGGTGGTAACAATGAAATCGTCAATCCAAAAGAAAGGGGATGCCAGAGGCTAGGCAAAAAAAAGAAGATTGTGAGCAAAACATGTTCAGACGTAGATGTGATCTGGCTGACTTGAGGTCAAATTCAAGGTGATCAAGGTGAGACGTGAGACAGATCGTATACAAAACATAGGAAATAGTCTAAGTGAGTGACAGTCAAAACAAATAGAAAGATATCCGGTCATGAAATCCAAGATGGTCGCTGATCAGTAAGTGTCCGGCTCAAGCGAGCAATGTGATAATCGGATACTGTCGTTGATCAAGGTGTCGTCCACCTTGTCCAAAAAAATAGAGCAAAAAGGAAATACCGATAAACATGGTAAAGATGCAATGAAACCGAAAGCCATCAAGCGAGTGGACGAGAGCTGAGCTCCCTTGAAAATAACAAATAAGGAAAAGATAGTCCAAGGATAGTACTCTCACGATCCTTGACCACTGTCAGCCGTAATGTAATGTCCGAAATGGCTCACGAGAGCGCTCGAAATGATGCAAGAAAATGCGATTGCAAAAAGCTGTCACGCTGGTATAACACGAGCAAAAAAAAAATAAAAAATAAAATAAAATAAAATAAACCAAGAACGCCGTAGAGAAGTCCAAGAGTTGATGCAAGGTGTTTTTGGGTTTTCTCGTTTTCTGTTCTTTTGGGTATCAAAAAGGTAGGTAGCATTTAGTAAGAAAGCATGCGGCGAGCAGGACTCCGACCTGGAGCTGGACTATCTCCAAAAGGAGATCCCAAGAAGCGGCCACTAGGGTTGCGGCATCGCCCAGTTGGGCTGTCTTCCATCTCAGGTGAGTGTTCTCCAAAGGCAAAGGTCTGTGCACGGTTAAGCTTGGACCGTTGCTTGACCTTACCGAGGCCTCGCTCGCAAGCGTGTTCGTGTTCTTTAGCGTTCATTTCAACATAGTTTTGGGGGTAGCACAACGAGCGATGCTCAGCAAAGAAAGCGCTGTAACCCCCTTCCAAGATGTACATATCGGGATAGCTAAGGTTCGGGTACTGATCAATGTTGACAGCGCGATCCCGATGACGCAGATACTTAGCCATGATCGGCGCCCGATGGACGGAGTACTCGCAATGCAAGATTACTGCAGTCCGTGGTTTTGCTTCCGCGAAAAGCTGAGCGGCCAGCGACTCCTTGTCATTGTAGTTCAGCGCTCCGTTGATGTGCCCACCTTCATACTCATACTCGAAACGGCAGTCGATAACCAAGATGTGATCGAACCGGTCGTTGTACTTTCCATCCATAACCTCAATCAGGGTTCCCTTGTTGATCCGAGCCAACGAATCTCCCTGGTCCTCTGGAATGAAGTGAGGCAACTGTAGGGAGGGTGTTCCTTCGATGTCGATATCCGGGATCGACGGAAGTGGTGCATTTGTGGTGTAGTTGGCTTCTTTTTCGGATACAACGTCCTGCGGATGTTCAAACATACTCAACGACCGTCTGCACAGTTTTCGAGGGCGCAGGGCCGGGTTGGAGCTCTTGCGAATTGACGACGCGGGAGAACCACAGCTCTTGGCGTGGCTACCACTGGTTCCCAGACCGCCGCGCAACCGAGCATTCATGGCAAGACTACCAGACGAATAATGGCGCAAGGCGGGTCGCTCCCGTTGCGGGGATTCTCCAAACATGTCCTCCAGCGAGGCCGAATTGCTCAACGAAGTCTTTCCATGGGCACGGCTGTTGAATCGGAACGGGGGAGCTTGGCTCTCGGGGGCCGGACCGTTCATTCCCATCTGATAAGAATGGGCTTTGCTCTTCGCGAGAGAAGGACGCAGAAAGTTGGGACGTTTCCTCCTGTAAGAAGTTATTAGACAAGTGTCCTTCCAACTGAACTTCGGACTTCTTACTCAATCAGGTTCTCCTTCTGCAGCATTGGCGAATCCTGCAGCGGACTGGGGACACTTGTCCGCATAGGCGAATCCATGTCCAAGCTCGGAGACTTCAAGTCGGTATCCCGAGCAACGGCGAACGATGGCTTGTGCGGCAAAGGCGACATTTCCATACCATCCATAGCGGCACCGGGCGAAGATGGCATCGGAGGAGTGGTCATAATATCTTCTATTTATGTGTAAAAACACGCATAAGCATAAACCGTTTGCAAGCAGCTCATCCGACATTGCGTTGCCTTACCATTGCTCTGTGCAAACAGGTTCGAAGAGAACAAAGACCGTCTGGGCGTTGCCAATTGCGGACTATTTTTGGGGTCAACTCTTTGTCCCGGTGAAACAAAACACACAAAAAAAGATCCGAGAAAGGATATAAAAAAAAAAAAGAAAGAAACAAAGCAACGCACGCACCTTTGATCGATATGAAAATTCTGAGACAAGTCTGCAGCAAGGCTTGCGGTGGGAGAGGTGCCCCGGACCGGTTTCATATTGAAGTAGTCGCCGCCCTTTTTCATGGACAGGTCCTTGAAGTTGAAAGGACTAGCTCCAATGCCCGATCTGGGGCCGCAAGACGGATACGACGTTGGTTCGGGACGGAAACAATGGCCAAACATGACAGATGGAGGCTGCATGGCAGCCAACGGGGACGAATGTTCCATTGCGTTTTCGTCGCGTTTGGTTGTGCAGTATTACAGAACTCAGACAAGAAGGATGTTCAACTGTGCTGCCACAACCTGACCAGTGGTATGCGATAGATTTTTTCGTTCGGTTTTTTTCAAAGAAATTTTTTGTATCCTCTTTCCCTTGACATCCAATTCCAATAGTCGAAATATATCCTCGCCCAAGCTGCAAGCTAACCAAACACAGTTCGTTCAGCAGAGCGCCACAGACCACAATTGTAGCCGGCACTCCTCCGTATGCTGAAATTGACGATTACAGGGCCATGGCCGGCTGATATAAAACGTCGAGTAGGAGTATCGGAGAGCAAGGAGTGCAACGAGAGGGGGGTGGGAGCGGAGGAGGATCAAATCAGGTCTCGTCACCGGAAGGTTCTATCTCGCAAAAAAAAAAAAAAAAATTGACAATAACGTTAGCCTTGAGAACAATAAATCCCGAATATTTCCCAATCCTTATTTCCTTTCCTGGGTTCTGGGGGGAGGTGCAGGGTGCAGGACGTACCGAAACGAGCAGCAATCAAGACCGAATAGCAACGAGGAGGGGCAGAATCGACGCAGCATGGGAAAGTCAAAAAAGGAAGAAAGGGATAGGTCGGAGGATATACTGTCGAGCAAGGGAAACGACAGGAGGATTGAAGACAGGAAATCGAAGAGAGAAAAGAAGGGGAGGACCTGGAAGAAAAAGCAGTAGAAAACGAGGTCTCAAGAGAAGAAAAAGGTGTGAAGCTGAAGGGATGACCCAACTTGTTGCAATGGCAACGCTGAGTGGGGAGCGATCTCCAGATGGACGAGCTTGGATACGTCGAGTGTACTCTGTACGTCTTTTCTGTACGGAATACTGTGAGTTTTGTACAGATACAAGACTCGCAGCTTCTGATTGCGTGCAGAGAACAAGTCACTGGTACCTACAGCCAATACCGTCCTATTCTGCGATGCTCCATAGGTAGACTGTAGGTAGACTGTCCAGTTGTATACTGCACAGCTGGCCATGTAAATTACTGTATGGGACGGTACTGATACAGCAGCACCGGCAGGGTTGCAGGAAGGAGCTAGCCCAAAACGGCTAGTGCCCCTCGTTGCCGGGACTCCCTTGCCGCTGTCTCTTTCGCTGCTCAGCAACCGCCGGGCGTTTCACTGGTGACAGCTTTTTCTTTTTCTTCCTTTCCGGATCTTGTTCGCCTTCTGGTCTGTTTCAATATTTACCGACATTATTTCATCACTGCTCCGTGGCTTCTTTGTTCTTTACATCCTCTTGAGACTGCTCCAGCCAGAGTAGCCTGTAGACTAGCTGGCTCTGTCCTGTCAATGCTCTGTCCCTGACATACAGAGTCCTGGCATATGCGAGGTTGCATACGAAATTTATTACTTCATTATTACCGTATACACTGCTCCATCCAAACCCTAGAACAGAAAGCGAAAACCGAGAGAAAAATTAGTATTATACAAGCCCTGCTATTGGCCAATAATCGACAGCCATTGTCCAGTAAAAAGGCTGAACAACTCGGAATGAGCCTCAAATTCTCAAGATCGAAATCTTATCCGTTCCCCACACTCATGCCCCACATCGGATAATCACCTGTGCCGAGCCAGAATAGGATAGGAATAAGGGCATGACGCAAGGAACAAGGGCATAGCTGTCACCTGCATTGCCTTCACAGGTTTGAAGTGCATACATAGTGCGGAGAATTTCCCAAGTATCTCGCCCATTCATCTAAGCAATGCCCACATACTTTTCTATCAACCTTACTATTCATAGGGAACACGCGCCGATACCCTCGATTGGGCAAGCTGGGCGACGCCCAGAATAGATGCCACGACCATGTCGATTCGGGTAGTGATGAACATTGTCGTAGTAACCTCGGGCGCCGCAGCACATCTGCCAGGGAATCCGGTTTGACTAGATCTGGTTCCAAGATCACCTCACTATTGTCAGATGCGTGCTCCGTACACAAACGGCCAATGATCGTGTCCCTGGCCAGTCTCCAGCAAGATACGCTCCTCGAACAGGATCAAACTCGATAGAGTTTGAGGTATCTTGCACAATCTGTATGGAGTATGGAGTGCACCCTGGACAGCGTGAAGGCTCCACAGAACAAGAATGAAGCCTTACGCACCATTCCCGAGCTCTGTTCTCATCGCGGTTCAATTTCTTCAAATGCGCGTTGGTTCTTCAATCGCCCTTACTCTACACGTTTCAACATTTCGGCAGGTACAGCCAGGGTTGCAGTGTACTCCATACTTCGTGGGGGTATTAGCTAGGGGCGTATCCCTTTCCGGGAACTTTCTCCAAGGATCATATTAACGAAACCTCCCCGTGCTGCAAATCAGTGCATGAGCACCTAATTATCCAATAATGAATATCCCCGGGGTACCTTTCAATAGTCTGAAGGGGGAAAAGGTTCGATCCCTGTTAGCAGCAGCACGTTCCCATAGCGCATGGAGGTTAGTGATCTTAGCTCAATAAGTCTCCTGGCTTTTATTTCTTTCTTCCGGGATCGAACGTCATTGCGCATTTCTTCCGATTCAATGCATAATAAAGATGGGAGCGCAGGTCCAAGTCGATTATTTTTGCCGAGCGACTATTATTTCCGATCGTCTTCAATAATCATGAATCGTGCTCGGTAGTCCTTGCTAGTGGGTGGTGTGGGCAAACCACCGCCCCAATCGGCGATCGGAAACTGATTGTGGTCGCAGTCCGGTTTCAGCTGGTACCAGAGTCAGGCTGGTATCGATGGCCAATCCAATTGGGGCGCTGAAAGCAAAGCTGAGCTTATTTGAGTGAGACGTCGGCCGATTCGAATCGCAATTCCGCATAAGCGGCGGGAGAAAGTCGGACACGGCACATGACAAGTCAGGTGAGGTCACATGTCTATCCTTTCTAAACTCGCAGGGTTTTCACTCAGGATGTTGTGCGTTAACTCTTGAAGCGTCATATGCATGCAAATAGAAACATTAACTGCATCGTATTCCCCGGAGCACTTGGTTGTATGTGCTTTCTAACGATGGTGCGGAGTAATCCTCCGTAGTTCCAGCCGATTGTCGGTGTGCCCGATCTTATCACAGCCGATGAGGGGATTTCGCAGCTGCAGCCCCTCATGTCACCATTGATCTACATTCTCCTGACTATCATTATTGGTTATCCTGCTCCTGTAGGATTTCAGCGCGTAAGAGAGTCTCGACACAATAGCCCCGCGAAAGTTACTTGTAATTGGTCATCACTCGCAGCCCTAGCGCCCGTGACCGTGCTCCCCGGCAAAACCTCTCTCCGGTACGAAGCTGTTACATTTATTACGTCGCAGTCCAATGATGTCACAGTGAGAGCAAGACACTACTGTATGCAGGATTTGTTGTCATTACCGCACGATGCTGTATGTAGCAGTGCTTATTCTTGTTTACTGTCCGGAGTTGGCAGTTTGTAAACAAATGTATCATTTGACCCGCGGTTCGTTACTTGCCATGCTTTGTGTGAACTTTGCGACTCAGATCGGAAAGTTGAGAAACCATGTGAGTCTTGTGATGCGCTATACCGGATGTGGTAGGTATGGCATCAATTAGATTCGAGTCACGTGATTTGTATAGGGTACGTAAGAATGTTCTTCTCTTCGATTCCAGACCCATACCAGAGAAGGATATGTAGGCTGTAAATACTGTAATAATATTTGCATTAGATTGCTCTACTATAGCACAGCTTGTTGCGCCCGGTATACATAGCATAGGATTTGCGGGTTTGCGATCCCATATGATCAGAGATACCCTTCAAGGTCGAGCTGTATTCGCAGGTTCTCTCTTCAGCTAGTGTGGTGTTGTTGTAACAATCTCATGAACTAATGATCTGCTCAGAAACCTCAACAATGCGACTAAAACAAGAACTGCTTGCGCCCTTCAAGTATATCCTTTACCGGTATCAACATCACTTGGTTGCACATAACCCAGTAATTCTTTTGCAAATGCAGCAGCCGTCGCTGCTGCGTACTCCTGCCACTCTTTGTTCTTTGCCGCGTCTGCATAATCGCATATCCCTCGAATTACAATGCAAGGGAATTCTTCGTTTATCTGTCCGGCAGCCTCCATCTCTATGCAGCGCAACTTTCCACTAAAGTCTTTGACGAGAGCGTTGCGGAACTTGGCGTCCTTGATTACCCTGTTACCGGATGCAATCAGACCATAGTATATTTGAGTCTCCTTGCCAGTTTTATTAGCCTCTCTGTTTGTGTTGTGATTGCCTGTCGACATCACCAGTCCCGTTTCAGCGCTCGTTGGAAGAATTGCCCACAATACCAGGTTATACCATAGAAAGGCAATGAATTCGTGCCACGTTGTGAAAAGCACATTCCCCTCCCCCGTGGCTGACTGTGTCTAGCAAAGCAACCTTCAAAAAGTCACATCGAATGTATTTCGATGCCAGGTGGGGGTGTTTTCTCGCCGTCTTATCCCAGGGTTCATCGGCCTTGGATCCAATTATCTTATTCTCATTTTTGAGCTGATCGATAGCAGTCAAAACCGCATTCGGGGGTCTGTTCAGTGCACCAGTCCGTTCGTATCCACCAGACTGCATCTTCCCCATATCCCATTGAACGACCCCCGGATGACCTGCGATGGGTTGACTGAAAACAACATCGCTTAATCGGACCTTGGGCTGAACACCACCCCAAATCCTAACCATGAGACCAACTTTGATGGATTTGAGAGAGTTGGTCATCAATACGGCGACGGCCGTTGCGGAACTGGTTGGCCATATTGAGTAGACAAGCTATCACAATGTTATGGTTGCCGATCGAGCCCAGTGTGTATGTATTGCTGTCGGTTCGGGTTTTCGGGGGAGTCTGATGTATTTCGTCGAGCATGGCTATTGCAGCGGTTTGTTCCTTATGCAGCGCGCAGACCCAGCCAATGGTATAAGCATCGTGGGTGAGTTTCTTGAGTGTTGGCTTCTGGCCTCTTTCCGACATCCCAGTTCTCAGTTTATGGTATCAAAGTTGATAGAGATACTCTCAAGTGATGTTTGAGCAGAAACCAAAAACATCTTCAATGTTAACGAAAGTCCTGCAGAAGTACTAGTTGGGTCTCCACCCCACGCCTCAACATCGGATTGAATGTATGCAAGGCTATCACAGTTCCCACATCATTCTATTCATGGCAGTGATCCATCACCAACTGGTATTCAATTGTGCAAAACTGGGCGCTTAGACGGCTCAAAATGCTTTCCTCTTGAGAAGACCGGATTCTAGCTAATTCCTCCCAGGCCCAGTAGCCATATTATTTGTAGTAAAGTTCATGCCACAACCCAAATATGGCAACATCAGGTCAACTGCGGGTTATCGGTGAGGATGTGGTTGGATCATCAGAATTCATTGAAGAATAGCTCCCAATGCCACTCACGCACCTAAAAGACAGAGAAAGAAGCTGTTCATTTCGGTGGCGAGATTTGGTACTAATCGAATACTTACAACTTGCCCTCCTTCCTATTCTGGGCGAGGATATTCAGGACATGATAATCAAGTGCCCAATCTCGTTGCTGCATGGAATTGATCAGCATTGTGCCAAATAATAGGCCAAAAGAAAAACTAAAGTCTTCGCAAGCTGAAGCTAGACACTAGTTCCTCCTTGGTAAGCACCCAATTAATCTTATTCAATATTCCTCTCGAAACCCTGAACATGGCCAAGTCCTCGTGGAGCATCCCGGGAACTCATCACTGGGTCATAAAGGCAGCAGGCGTGTATCCTGAGAGAGCAGCGTCCTCGACGCAAACAACTTTGGAAGAAGTGCTCGACTTTTTCTTTTCTTTCACATTCTTTGGTGAAATGATTCGGACCCAGTTTGCGTCGAGCAGTATTTAGATCAAGGAACAATAAGAGGATCCTGGGTTAACTCACTGGCATAGTATTTTCAGGGTATGACAAGTCCTCGGTCTTCTTACCCAAGACCAGGTAAATTCGCTGGCGTCAAAGAAGTTACCAAACCCCCTTCTCTAAGCTGTTCATCAATCTTGACGGCTCAATTTGTACATACGCCGTTTGCTCCGTCCAGTCAAGATACCAAGCTGGGTAGATGGGATTAAAGTTGTATGTGTGAAGGTGTAGTTGAGGTCACACCAAGCCACCATCACATGACACAAGCATAATGAGTACTATGGACAGGGACATGTAGTAATGATATCCCATATCAAGTGGTTATGTTTTATTCAGCAAGTACTACATACAGTACTTTATGGTATTGATATCCATCCAGAGAGCATTCAGTCATCATCACATTCAACCAATCGTATAAAAGAGCCACCGTTCGCCGTGCTAAATCCGTGTCATATTGCGTTATCGCCAAGGAGTAGACCGAGAATAAATAAATAGATGGATAAGGGAAAAGATTCATAGAAATGAGGTGGATATGGCTTATGCAATATACCCATACGTAGGCGGTTCCTCGGCGACACGTTCAAGGTATTCGCGATCAATCAAGCTCTCGATACGTTTCTTCACCATGTTGATGTCAGGAGAGAAACGGCCGGATAACTGAGAAAGGACTTCATTCATGAGCTGCGAGTGAACAAGTTTCTTGCGTTGTCTACAGTCTGTTAGCATTGGACTGGTGATAGGAATAGAAGGGGATAGGTAGGGCATACTTCATAATCCGTACAACAGCAGCTTCGATACTGGCCCCACGCTCTTCGTTCATCTTTTTCTCCGTCTCTTTGCGCTGGTCTTGGTTCTCTACCTTGTTGGCCCCGCCGCTGACGACGCCAATCCGCACTTTCATGAACGGGCTTTGAAAGTCGTGGTTGAAGAAGAATTTATCTGTTGGCTTCACGTCTTTGCTCATGGGTTCCTTTTTCAGAACCCGTGTCTTGGGCGCGACGGCGAGCGATTGCAGGTTTCGGATCAGGTCATGGTTTGGAATCCGTGTTTGTTCTTGGATTTCCTTGTATGTGAGAGATTCGCCTGCTGGGACGTCATTGAACAGTATCAGAATGACCATAGCATATGTAGACACGTTGAGTTCATGTCGTTGCACTTTGCCATTAGATCTTAGGAATGTTGCCCGGATATCCGCAGTACCCATGCTGGCTTGCCACGACAGCTTTCTGCCGCTGTGCTTGCTGAGGTAGAACTGCTCAAAGCTTTGCTTGGTGCTCTCAATTTCCTTCGGGAAGATGCACGGAGGCTGTACTTCGCCATCCTTGCCGTTTGACATAATCTCCATTGGCCACATTGTGCTGGTGAGGACATTGATTTCCAAATCCACCTTCTTCTGATCAGGATCGCCGGTTTTCTTGATGTGATCTTTGTAGCTGGATGTTAGGTCATCAGAGACAGTCATATCCCTGAACATGGATTCTAGGCGCTGTGTAAACTGGTTTCCGACTTCCACCTTCATCTTGGAGATCATTTGCCGCTCTGCGTCCATGCTGACTGAGCGCTTCATGAGGAGACGGCGAGAAAGATGTTTCTTGTAGTATGTTTCGAAAAGGTCCTTGTCTTTCACGTAACGAAGAAGGGTGATACCGTTGTCAAGCAGAGAGTCGACTTCACTCTCAGTCTTTCCCTTGATGCCCTTTTTCAAATTCTCATCAAAAAACAGAGAAAGATACTCTGAGCTGCGAGGATTCGAGTTGATGAAGTCTGAAAAGCTGTTCATCATTGCACCCTCCATGCCCTGGTCCAGCTTAAAAGACTCCTTCCAAATCCGGTCAAATTTGCTCTTAAGGGCCAAGATATCGTCCACCCACTTGATAGCAGACAAAGTTTGCTGGTTCATAGGCTTCTCCTTCTCCTTCTCCTTCTCAGATTTCTTGTCGCCGTTTGTTTCTTTCTCAGCCGGTTTCGCGGACTGAGCAGAAGTCGCCGAGGCGTTGATTTCGTGCCCCATTTCCACTATACGCTTCTGAACGGCCAATGTCAAAGGTGTCTTCTTCTTGTCAACTCGTGAGTTGAGCTCGTAGACACTTGCCAGAACGTCAATCCGGTCATTATCGATCATGCTCCGAACACCGGTACTCTCCAGGTTGACGACTTCAGCAATGTGTCTGCTGATAAACTCTTCGTCCAGCACGTCTTTGATCTTCGATTCTGTAAGGGGGGATAACGTGTAAAGGCATCGCTCTCGCTCCTCTGCGATCCGGTTTGTGGCGATTCTGCAGAATGTAGCCGCATCTGCCATTTCCAGTATCCGCTTCCCCTCCGTTCGGTAGAAACTCCTACTCGTTTCGATAAACGCCGGCTCGAACATGGTCAGGTAGAGTTTTGATGACTCCTCCTCTGTTATGGTCTCGTATAGCCCTTCGAGCATGTAAATGCAATGTCGAATTAACGGTCGTTCGATGACATGTCCTGCCCGTTCTAGCTGAATCATGAACAGCACGGTATCCTTCAAAACATCACCAACAGCGTAGTCTGAATCAGGGCGTACATTCGACCGTATTACGCAGTCGCGGAAGATCGCCATAGCTGCGACATAGATGGATGGTTTCCGGTGTTCCGTAGTAACGACTCGGTCCTATTATTTAGAAAAAGACATGTTAACCTAGGCACATGGCATAACAGAGCAGCGATAATATAACCAACCATATACATGAGAACATCCGTGATCATGCCCATACACAACTGATGATCTTCCCAAGCTTCTCTCAACACAGACAAGAACTTTTCTCCTGCAGCCCGTCTTTCATTTGACTGGTCTTGCACGTCAACCGGCTCCTTTGCCAATAGCAAGCTGGACGTGATTGATGCAGTGATCCGCTTCTGGATCTCTTGTCCGAGCCACTCCCCTTCCAATTGTTTTACTCGCTCGTATAAGTCTCCGCATTTTCCCATTAATACGATTCGGTATGCCTTTCGGTATAGTTCTTCGAAGGAGAGCGAGGACGCATTTTTCGTGTGGATTTCTCTCAGGGACGATGCTAAAACATTCCACGTTTCGTCAAAGTTATTAACGTTGTTAGAAGTAAGGCCCTACGTAGCTCTGTCAGCTTATTGCCATCTAATAATGTCTGGCAGCGAAATCCGGTGGTGGTGGTCTTCATTGTTCAGCCACCATGAGCATCGATATTTTGCCTAATCCAGCTCATATCCCAAATATAAAAAGAAAAGCACTCACCCTTCGCGGGGCATGAATCTTCTTCCTGGCCCTCATCGCCATCTTGAAGATTCAAGTCTCCGATACCCCGGAGCTCAGCGCGGGGCAGTCAAGAAGCAAAGTATCGCGAGGTCAGTCTGAGAAAGAGAGTGACGGTTGGGATAAAGTTTAGCGAGGGTAGCGATTCGAAATATTAGCACAATCAAGCTGGATTCTGCGTTTTCGAAGCATTTCCCCGGATTCTGCAAAGTTGTTGGAGCTCAACTTGGAGATCCGCGGAGTGAAAGAGCCCGGAGAAACGTGCTTCCGGCGCAGTTTTTTGTACTCCGTCATTGCTTCTGACGGCTCTGATTCAACATCTTTAATCAATAGATTTAGTGTTAGCTGCTTATCTTTGCTCAAACACATCTCAGAATGCGTCCTTCATCGCTATTTTATGGCCTTCGGGCTCTGAACACCTCTATTTCTAGAACAGCAATCTCCCACACAACCACGCGTCCATTCTCCCAGTTGATCAACCGCTTGCCTTCATTCTCAACACAGCTCCAAAGCCCCCAAAGACTAGCAACCACATACCACGCACTCCGATTCAATTCTTCATCCTCGTCTGGCCAATCCCCCCTCACCGACCGCCAACTCGACGCACAAACCGACGCCCAACATGAAGAACAAAACCGCCTGCGCCGCGAACAAGAACCTGCATACCAAATCACCTTCACCTGCAAACCGTGCGGGGAACGTTCGTCACACCGCATGTCCAAACATGGATATCACAAGGGGACAGTTCTGATCCGGTGCCCGTCTTGCCATAACAGACATGTTATCGCTGATCACCTGAACATCTTCTTCGACAAGAGTACTACGCTGGAGGATATCATGCAGAAGGAGGGGAAGAAGGTGACGAGGGGGTATCTGGAGGGGGACATGGAGTTCTGGGATGATGGCGTTGCATTTAAGAGGGGTGAGGGGGAGAAGTCTGGTGATGGAAAGTTGTAACGGGTTGCTAGAAGTGCTGTTGAATGATTACCAGTCGGCTAGCTGTGGCTACCATGATGCTAGAAAAATTTTGACGCATGTTTCGGGGGTTGAAGATTCCAGATTGACGAAAAGAGGCATTTTGGATGGACGTTGCTATGCACCTGGATGATACACCCTACTCCATGATCTGTCCATGTACTTTTAGAAACTAATGAACTGTACCATTACTTTATAACATAGATTCTCTATTCATCATATCCTTTTTATGCTTCCCATAACGCCGCCATAAATCCGGGCAAAAATGTATATACAGCACCTTCAACACCCTTACCAACCTCGTCTCTTTCCACGGAATTCCATACCCTTCTCCTTTCTCTTATCCTTCTTGCGGTCATTCCTCCTCCTCTTATCCTGTTCATGCTTCTCAGGATCTGTAACAGCTTCAATACGTCTCTTGACCCGTCTACCTTCACGCCTTTCCCGGATGGAATCCTGCACGGCGGCCATCTGAGTGATGTACTCGGTGGTACCCAGCTTCTTCTGAATAAGATCCAGAACCTCATGGCAGTTAGACACAAGAGCTTTGTAAGTTTCGCGGAACTCCAGGTCCGATGACCGCGGTGCCGGGATAGAGGTATCGGTCAGATGCTGCAGGGGAAGGAGGATAATCGGGAGGGAAGGAAGGATGTGTTCCGCCTCGAGGTGACGACAAAGAGCCGCGAAGAGACCGATAGATGCGGTCCTGGGAACGAGGGCTACCGCACGTGTATTGACGAGTTCGCGGCGGAGGATCGAAGATGCTTGTTCGAAGACATAGCGGATTGCGGTCTTTGATGTTGTCTTTTCCTTCTCGCCGTCGGCGCGTCCGTTTGTCTTTGCTTCGGCGGCAGCAACGTCGGCAGCAGCTTCGACATCTTCTTCGTCTTCGGAAATGCTTTCGTCGAGTTCCGCGTCCTTACTTCCCAAGTTAGAAAACTCGAGGCCATTCTGGGCACTGCATCGGCAAAGGAAAACGATGTTGCGGACGGTCTGCATTGCAAGTTCCTCGCTGACACGGGGAGTCCGGAGACAGCGCATGCTGGCACGGAGTAACTGCAACATCGCATCTCTATCGAGAGCCAATTCTGCACTTCCAACCAGAGGAATCGAACCGAAGCCGTTGGCTGCGTTTGTTTTGGCGACGTCCGCGAGCCACATGCCGATAAGGTTTGCGGCGCAGGTTTTGACCCAGGCATGCGGATAGAAGAGGCACTCGCGGATAGCAAACCAGATTGTGGCGCATTGCTTGGACATGGCGATAGAGGGGACTGTCTTGCAGAGTTTGAGGTACAACTGGAGAGAGAAGTAGAGCGTCTCCCAGTTGTCGGTCGACTCATCCTTGAGGATTGGCTGCATGAGTTCAGGGAGGATATCAGTGACGAATCGCGCTTGTTTTTCTTTCTCTGTCTCCTCGGCTTCGAAGTAGATTCGCATGGCTTGCAATCCAGTGCTGCAGAGGAGCATGTTGTCTGTCTGCTCAAGCCACGAGTGGATAGGACCGAGAATGGTCTTCATCTGCTCCCGGTCTGCCCTGCTGTAGAGCTCTCCGAGCAAGGCACCCGCCATCTCTCTGCATTCTGGCGCCTCGTCATTTGCCATGACAATAACCAGCGGCAAGAAGAAAGTACCGACGATATCCTGCGCAAGAGCAGATCCCGTCTTCGACAAGAGCATATGCAGCGCATCCATAACCGACTGGCGTCCATCGGTGTGCCTGTACTCGAGGTTCTTAGCCAAGAAACTAAGCTGCTTGGTCCAACGACCTTTGGCCTGAGGATACTCGATCAAGAAATGCACATAGACACCGCGTGCCAAATCCCGAGCCGCGCGTGTCTGGTTCGTGACCATCATGGAAGCTATATGGTCTGCTAGTTCATACATCTCCGGCACCACGAATTTACGGGCCATGACGGCTCTGATGAAGTTGAAGGTCACGCCTTGACGATCCGGCTCTTCGATATCGGATGTGAGGCGTTGGAGGAGGTAGGAAAGATGGCCTTCCCTGAGTTTCGTGTTCTTTCGCTCGCGCAGCATGGCCGAGATCAACTTCAGGGCTGCTTGGGACGCTTCGGTGTTTGTGCTGGGAGCCTCCTTGATGACCTTGACGGCTTCGGTGAAATACACGTGGGAGTTGTTATCAATTTCAGCCAGAGGAAGTTTGATGATAGTTGACAACAGCCGAAGAGCTGATATCTTCACTTCCTCGTGCGCCTGCACCAATGCATCACCAATGATGGGCAGGAAACCAGCCATGTTACCCGGAGTGAGCAGAGACCCAAACTTGTTGAGGACCGCTCGCAGCACATCGAGCGAAAACCGGTTTAACTTATACAGGTACGACGAAGTGGTTCCGCGCTTCTCGCCCCGTTTGGCACCTTCATACTTGATCAAGAGATACTCGCTGGAACCAGGAGCAACAGGTTCATTATTGTCATCCAGAATGGGCTGTTTATATGACTCCTTAGTGACTTCGTAGCAGAACATCAGGAGATCACGGCTTTCCGCGCCGGGGTTTCGCAAGAGACCGATTCCAATTCTCCGTAGAAGTTCGTCGATCTTTCTGACCATGTTGGCGTTAAGCTTCTCCTGCAGGAGGGCCTGCAATGGTCTGGTCAACTTCGACAGGCTCGGGACGGTAGAGTTCTTAGCTAGCAGTTCCATGGAATCGTAACTCTTGCTGCTCTTGACTTCCTTCATCTTGCTGGTATAGCCTTCCGCCTCCTTCTCTTGACCAACGGTACCGAAGGTATCGTCCATCACCACGGAAACCAGGTCGGGCAAGCAGTAGTCCAGATCTCCTTGTTTGAAGTGGTCTGTCGTAGAAACAAGCATCGAGTGCACTGTGAACGAAAGGACGTGGAGCTGGTAGCCCCGCTTGAGCGTATTTCGCAGTTCCCTGAGGATATACCCGAAGTAGGCAGGTCCAAGGAGAAAAGAAATATCGTTCAGTGTCTTCCGGGCGGTGTCCCGAGAATCCTGAGCTTTACTCTTCAGGATACTGCAGACGTCCAGGAGGACAGGAGGCAGACGGATGGCCATGTCTTGTTCGGGCAACAACTTCAGCAGTTTGATGGTGGTAACCGCGGCTGGCAAACGAAGACTCATCTGCGCCTCAGCCTTCCAATGGATGAAGTTCGTCAGGAAGGGAGTGAAGTTCGTCGTCAATTCGTTAGCGACCTTAGTGGCAGACGGAAGGGATCGAGCGAGTTTAGATTTCGCAAGCACCGCGGCGTCGTTGTCATCTTCCATTGCATCGACGTCGTCGTCATCAGACTTGGTCGGAGGTTTTGACTGGTTCATTGCATTTGTCAGGGCATCTGCCATTCTACCTAGGAGTCGCAGAACATTTTTCTCCATTTCAGACCGGCTTTCCATGTAACCACGATATCTCCGGAAAGTGTTTCTGAACTGGTTCCAGTCGAGAGATTCACCAAGCGTTCCAAGGGTTGTCACAGCTTCAGCAATCAGGTTGTGGGTATTCTCATCTCCCTCCTCGTCGTCAAACACAAAGTGTTCGACAAGCGGAATGAAAATTGTGCTGATGTTCACTGCCTGAAGCTCGCCCTTGATAGCCTCGCTAGCCAAGCGGCGCAGAGCACGGAGACGGCGGTGCTGCTGGATGTGAAGAATGTTGTTGAAGAACGACGCTTCTTCATCATCCCCAACAAGAAGAACATGCAAATCCTTAACAGCAGGCTTTTCAGGGTTCAACTTGACAAAGTAACCAAGCGCAGCCACGTATTCAGACCGAATCAACTCCGATTTCTGACGTGCGCCGCCTTGTAAAGCAGGGTAGAGAATCTTGCTCACAAGGTTGTCGAAGTCTTCTGCGCCCGCATCGACTGGGAGAATGGCCCTCTCCATAAAGCGCTTCAATCCGAACGAGGCGCTACCTCGGATAGCCAACTCCTCTTCGTCTTTCATGTGATACAACATGTTGTAGAGCAATGGCCGCCATTGTTTTGCGCTCAAGTTGTTCCAGAGATCCTCGTTAATTCTCCTGAAGGCCTGGAGACGACGCTCATAGTCCGCTCCGAGTTTCTTAAAAGATCTTGAATTCAAGTCCTCGCACAGCTGTGCGACCTCACCAAGTTCGCGGTCATGTTTCGCGTAGGCACTAAATACTCTTGAAAGAACTTCTCGGTTTGTGTCATCTTTGAAATAGTCGAACGTGGCCGAGATAGCCTCAAATACGGATTGAGAAAGCTCCGGGTCTTCACTGGGCTTATAAATGGGCAAGAAGTGCTCGAGAATGCGCAACAAGCCCGATTTGGTTTTGGGGGAGACACGGTCTGCAGGCTGACGGAGAAGGTACGTCGTGATGCTGATCAAGCTTGAGGTCTCGCGCGAAGACTCGACGCATGGTGCGAGGTGAGACAAGGTTTGGACGCCCGACACCAACACAGGCCGTGAGGGACCTCTCCTAAGAAGGCGACTGAGGTGAGAAAGGGCGTGTTCAATGTAAGGTGACAGGACGGTGGAGCGGATTTCCTCCGGCGAGAAATCGCTCATTTCCTCTCTCTCTTCCAGCTTCTTACCGCTAGATTGCTCAATCAGTGGCACCAGCACTTCGTCCATCACGAAGATCTTAACAGCATCACGGGCAGAGTCCACCCCAAGGGTATCAACAACCTTTGTCAAAGCAAGTTTGTTTTCCTGCACAAGGTAGAAGGAAGATCTCGGTGAAGAAGCCCAGGTATGGAAGAGCCGAAGAAGGCCCGATACACCCTGAGCCGTTTCGATGGCAAAGTTCTCCAGTCTAGGGTTAATCACATCCTCGTAGATAATGCGAACGTAAGGCGTCCAGTCTCGATCCAGCGAGACAGAAAATATAAGCTCAAGGCATCGAATACATGTGTGCCGAAGGTTGCGTAGCGCCAAAAGCACTTTTTCCTCAGCAGCACCGGGGCTCTGCGATTTCTCAAGAGTTCGGCACGCTCTGACGAGGCAGTACAGGACCACGTTCAAAGAGCTCTCGGCGAATGGAGCCACGCGGGCCTGGAGTGTGTCGAACACGGACTCAATTAGCTTCAACAGACCCATCTGTCTCCTAAGACTAGCAAGTTCCTGCTGGAACGGCTGCTGGTCAACCTCACCATCCTTGACTAATTGTACTTCTCCGAGAGGACCAAAAGAGACCTGCATGAAAAGCGCGAAGTATTGGTCTGGCAAGTGGGACAGAGTCCGCAGAATAGCCTTTCTCCGCCCAATTTGTCCTGCTTGTCCTGCGTTTGCGCTCGCCTTCGAAATCATTCGACCGTAGAGAAGTCTCAGGA